CAACAAGTCACACATCTTCAGATACCACAGTAAATCCATTCTATTGCTACGGATTGATTTTTCTACCCACCAATGTAAATACTTCAAATTATAGCTGAAAACAAAAAATATTAAAAATAATGTTTGAAGTGTGAAATGTAGTGTAACATCCAAAAATTCACCTAAAATACTTATTTCGTATAAACAGGATACACTGTTTAAAGCAAACACAATTTTTGTATTGGCTGCTAATTTAATTTACTATAATATATTTATAATATCCAACAACATCATCAACGGATGGATGGAAAATTGTAAAATTAGCAAACATAAAATATTATATATGAATTAATATAGAGTCTGTTCCACACATATACCATCAAACAGGATACTGCGACAATAATGATGACAAAAGACGTATCAACAACGAGAATACATTTCAAAAGACAGATTTCAAAATGATTTGCAACTTTTTTTTTGGGGTGGGGGGGTTGTTTACCCTGGAATTTCAGAATCAGAATTTCAAAATTCTGATTACCAAAATGCGTGAGTAGGTGTTTTAATCTTTATATCTTCAACGTTTAGCAATTTTTTTCGGTAATTTATCATCAACAGAGAGAAGCGATCGAAGCATTGAAAGAAAAGCGTGTGTTAATGTAACAGCACTGTTACGCGTGAAACGTAGATGCAACATATAATCCAATTTTTATGGTACTCTTAGAGAAAATTACGCAAACGTCGAGATGCGCCTTCAAGTACAATTACCGACTACAATAGACGGAAGCTAAATGGAAAAAGCAAAAAAGGTGAATAAGATATGAAGCCGCCCTTGGCTCCGGCGCCCTCTAGCGGCGTATGGGCTACGAGCACCGCCGACTAGACCGCGTTAAGGACGCTCAACTAGGGATCCTAGAGTGCTAGGATCCTAGGGAGGTGTCCTCATGACAAGCGGCAGCCCACAATGACATTCGTGCTTCCGATCTCGCCAAGTAACCACACACTACGAGCCAGCTCGTCTCTCAGAACAGCGACACCCTCACCACACTACTAATACTCGAGCCCGTCACCACCGCTGACAGTCAACCTACGCATCAGATATACCACATGATTGCAAATTTAAGAAGGTTTGCTTTTTCAATTACGCAAAGTCAACAACCCCAGATTTGACTACAAGAAAGAAAGAACTTTTAATCGAAAAATATGCAGCCATTCATTGACACTTCATAATTGACATCTTCGAAGTCAGTAAATTTCATAATAAATGTCAGTGATTGGTTGACAATTGAGACGTAAGTTGAGACGTATTGCATTGTGTGACCCTGTTTTAGTCAGTCTTAATGCTTATAATTGCAGCAAGAGGCTGTACACCATGAACATCAACTTCAAAAACAAACAGCCTGTTAAAGTGTACAAAAAAATTCCTTCCAAATTGGCAAACTGCCAGTTTAAGAACAATATGGATAATTAAATTATATGGCAATGTTTCACAAAAATAAACGTGTGATCTCAGGCAGCAAACAATGCGAACATCGAACTGCGGCAGCAACACACAAATAATATCGCCCTACATAACCGATTGGGATCTATGCGAAAGCAATGAAAACGTAAATGTGTTGGGGTTAAACTTAATACAGTATAAGAACTGCATAGGTTCGAAACATCGTCAAACGCTGAAAAATTGTGAATGATTTATTTTGCTAATTCACACTCAATAAACTCTCATTGCTTCAAATTGTCAGACAGTTCAATATCACCAAAAAAAGGGGATCTTTTTTACGATCATATCATCTCAACGACTCAGCGCTAATAAGAGATACGACATCAAAGTTTACAATGGCAACTTCCCAGTGCAGATGAGCATAGTATCACTTATATTTCTTTCTTGCTTGCGTTGTCTAACAGACTCCTTTTGATTCCTGCCTCATAATCGTTAGAGTTGTAGTGCTACAGATACAGAATGAATACACGCCGCAGATGCTTTCAAAAGTTATTATTATGCTCAGTTAATATCCAGTATCAGGGTAATTCACCAATGCTACCAAGAGTGTTAATAAACGAATAAGAATTCTGCATCATATACAAGAACAAACATAAAAACATGCCCCGGCAGTGAACAAAAAATACAAAAAAATTGATAACGCGTTTTGGGATAAAGATTGTTTTGGTTCGAATTATAAGGATAATTGAGGAACATAACATAGTGTGTAAAGTTCGGGTAGGTCGAGAAACGTCACATGGTAAGTGTCATGCGCGTTAGACCCAATCGAAACAAAACCACAACTTTTAATATGAACCTAGTTTAACAATGGGAGGAAAATCTTAAATATCCCAACTTCGTGGACGTGCAGCCTGGTGACGAAATCCATAGAAGTGAAAGGAATCAATAAATACTATAATTGCCAACCGATGTTTTATTAAACAAATTTTGAAGTACTATTGAAGAATTTTCACCCAGAACAAATATATTCGGTTCAACTGCAGTCCATTGTAAGTAATATGAAAATATTGCCAATTAAATCGAGTTGACTACTTTGAGCGGTTACTGGAGCAAACAAAAGTACGCTCAAATAATGCATTCTTATAGAGAAATGCTTTAATATATAATAATTTAAATCTTTCTTTCTCCAGTTGAAGATTATTAGCAAAATATGGACATAACATAAATATCAGTATAATTTCAAAGCTATTGGAAGGGATGTAGCATAAATTTTTCAAGGAAAAACATAATTTTAAAAGAGGATTTTACAATTGCGCTAAGTTCATGCATGTCATACTATTTTACACAAAATAGCTACCATTTCAAAGATTTGCATTTGTATGACCGACAAAACAGAAAATCTTTAATACAGAGACCACATTCACTGTCCCAGTCATTTAAAATCAAATTAAGGTGGACTGATTACAGAACAATGCGAAGAAATGGTATTGTTAAATAAATCCTTTATAATTGTTTAACGCTCTGGATTAATTTTTCCAAAAAGATCTTTAGTACCGACAACATTCGAATTCCATGCAAATGTTGGTGGCAAAACAACGCAGAATAGATTCGAGCGGAGATAATAGGAAGACATATGAAGACACAACCAAGATCAATTAATTTTAGTTGAAGCACCATCAAAGAAGAATCATTGATAACATTTTATGATTCAAGATATTTGCCAGATAATTGTAACCAAAACTATTTGGCTATGGGCGTATAGAAACATTAAAATCATTTCGACAAAGATTTCCGATACCAGGCCAAATAGTGGAATCAAACTAAACTGACAATTAAATTTGTCGAGCGACTTCTTTCGACTCATGTGGAAAAGAAGACGTTCTAGCTGAACCCATAATAAATGAAGATATATTTTAGCAGTGAAGATGAAATACCGTAACAAAATCTCATGATTTTGTTTTAAGATTAGGTGACAGCAGGATTGTTAATTTCGGTATAACTTTACAACTGCCAGATATAACGATTAGAATGTTAGTGGAGACTGTGCCCTCCACGACGATGAGTGATGAACTAACGGGTAGCACCACAAACAACTCAAAACGTAAACTATGAGCATGGCTACCCTGATTATGAAACAAAAGTTTATGTTTGTCTTGCATCAAGGCAAGTCTTTGGTTTTATTAGTAGGTAGTTTGTGTTGACAACGGAAACAATTGACGGCGCAAAATAGTCACCCTCCGACCAATAGAGTGTGATGTTCCAAGGTCATGTGAAAGTAGACATGCAACACTCTCGATCAGTTTGTTGGTTTTGGTCGTTGTATTCGGCCGTCAATACATTAGAGCCAACTCGATTTTATCGAATAAAATCAAAGTATTCGTATTTCTTTGCATTTCTCTTGTTTTTTTTGTTGTTGTTACAGTCTGGCAATATACACACAGTGGCAAGAAGTAGATATAAATCATTAGCTTGCAAATATCATCATTGTGTATGTTTCTTACAATAATCTGGGAGGAAATGTGTGCCTTGATTCAAAAATTATTTCCTTTTATAAATAGCTTTCCTGCCAGTATGAAAAAATGTATACAAGATACATAAATAATGCAGTTTTAGCATTTTTGTTAAATGTTTCTTCTCTAATAATACAAATTTAGTTTAGTTTAAAACGTGTTTTAAACATTTCTGTGCTTCCACGGACTCTTCTCGCAAGAGTTAAGTTGTTGTGTATTCTTATATCTTATTGACTTCCAGGTGTTTTTTTGCTATTCGATCCGCCTTGTCTTCTATGGCGTTGATTTTATTTGTTTTGCAACAGGCAAATAAATTTTTAAGCGCTCAGTGTGATTTTTCTGTTTTTTTGTGCGCTGGTGAATATTTGCTTGCAGGTTTATTCGAAATCCAATCTATTTTTATTCCGTATTTGAAAGAACACAAGGCGTAAAACATGTCGCTTTTTTGTTTGAAAGGTTTGTCTTACATATTCGTATCATGGCAGCACAGTACTTTATTTTCATTGTACTTTGTAGCCCGTATTTTATTTATTATTAATATGTTATTTTTATAATTGCTATAAATTATCTTCAAGGGAATTTGGGGCACTATTTCCTCGTTTAGAACCCAAAATAATTGATTTCTTATCCACTTTTGCTGGTAAATCAGTCTTCTACATTGTATCCTTTTGGTGTTTTCAAGTAATTGATTATCTCATCCACAATAATAATAAATCGAAGCGGGCTTAGCGAGTTTCTCTGGCAAAATTCTAGAGAATCTTTAAAACAATGAAAATAAACTAAATCCAATCGTTCAACATTATTACAACTTGTGCTGGCCACATCATTGTAGTTAGCATTTTAGTTTAGTTATCATCGAAAGAGCGTGGAAATAGATTGCCAGTAAAAAAATTGCGTAAGCAGCACGTGGCTAAACGTTGTTAAGCAGTCGTAGTTAAAGTGCCGCTTTGTTCACATGATACTTAATATACTATTAAAGGTTTAAATCTCTTTCAAGTACACACCCAATTATCGTGTTTACATTGTTTTCATATTTCAAATGTCTCCAACTCGGTACATTAAACAAATCAACATTTTTGGTATACATTTTTTATTAAAAAATAATTGACAACAAAGTGTCGGGCTGGCGTTGCGCAAGCGCATCACCGACGCGCGTTAATAATACAAGAATTTTAATAACATTTGTTTAAACAATTTACAAGGTGTGCGCTTTGCGCTCTGATAATAATTGTTACGTAGATAATGCTAGATAAAGCTCAGCAAGACACTGGACTGATGAGAAGTCGTCGATCATACGTGTGAGCGAAAGTTGATATGGCAGTTGTGCGCGCTGCTCGTTTTGTTGGGGCGTAGACTAAAATTATGTACATGCTAAGACTGGGCGCACGGTCGCCTTTAATAGCGACGTCCCTTAGGCGTCAGCGCAGCCTCGATCCATTCGAGGTCCGGTTGCACATAAGCGCCCAACTGGCGCTCGTCCTTGCAGCCGGTATCCCAACTGAAGACACCATGTAGTGTATAGTGTTCGCCATCATCGGTGCACGCCAGAGCCGAACCATGGTCGACTTTACATTGATCGGCCTTGGAGGCGGCGCAATAAGTTTCCGCACCCAAGCGGTTGACTAAATCAGGGAAGTTGGTCTGCATACTAGCGCTGCATTCGTTTTGATTAACGAGGTCTACGTCGATTGTGCGCATAATTGCGTCCTTCAGGTGAACTAAAAAACAGTAACAATGTATTTAAGTGATAATAGGTTATGTTTTCATTAGATTAAATAGTAGATAATAGCTTACTCTGAAGAACTTTTTTGCCCCAACCAGTAACGATACACCGCCCGGTGGGTTGCTGACCAGGTGCGGGCAAGCAAATACTTCCAATATTTTTCGTAAAACGCAGTTTTTCTTCCAGTTGCAAGATAGCAACGTCGTGTTGAAGGCTCTCCCGATTGTAGAGCGGGTGCACGACAATTCGGCGTACCTTGACAATCTGGAAAGGCAGTGGTTCCTCATCAATTCCAAGTTTCCATTCGCCGCCTTTGATGAGCACGTCGCTGGCTTCCAAGCTATAGTAAACCATTAATATATAAATTGCTTGTAAATACTAATAAATAATAATAATAAATTAACACACTTACCCTTCAACGCAGTGTGCTGATGTGATGACGGCATTTTTCCTAATAATGGCACCTCCGCAAAGCAAACTGCGGTTGGAGTCACGAAGAATCATCGCTTGCCATGGTATTTCAGCAAAGTTTGCATCGAGAGCTCCAGGTCCGCGTGGCTGCGCGTCAAAATGTCTCGTTCCACATTGTGGTTGCTGAGGTTGAAAAACCTGTGCCTGTTCTTGTACAGCGTTTGAGCGAGTCAAGCGATTGTTTCGCACATCAGCTGTGTATTGGCCTAGACTAGGATCTTCGCGATATTGCCCATTATCAATTCCATTGACAAGATTCGCAGAGGGCCATGGGTCCTTGTAGTCAGCGTCGCGGCAGCACTTGCCAACAATTCCAGCTTCTTGATCAGCGCAATCCTGTTGGATAATTTAATTAGCACTTATAAAATAATAAAATGGTTTGCGCTTATTACCGTTAAAGGTACACGAGAGAATTCCTGTTCCTTGGTGAATACTACCGGCACAGGCGAGACAAATCCTTCAGCTGTGCAGTAAATCTCTTGAACACACTTGAGTGCGGCGGCACATCCGGGCAGCACTGGATCAGAAGAAGGTGGACGTGGACGGATAATAGTAGGGTTATTGTTGTCACCAGAGGGTACATTGTCTGCCTTTTCCGTAGTTGTTGAGGTTCGCACGTAGATGTTGTTTACGGATGTGTCCGCACCATCGATGGTCGGGAGACTGAAGGTAGGCGTTGGTTTGGGGTAAACGTAACCCGGAGCGGTTGTGGGACGCACCGGCGGCGTGGTGGGGCGTGGAACACAGACACCGTTTTGGAGATAGGTATTACCTGTACAAATAATTGGTTTAGGTCTGGAAGTGGTTGTGGTAGTGGTAGTCGGGCGAGTGTGGTACTGGTTGTTGACGGTGCCTGACGACGATGGTACGAAAGGTGCTTGTGTGGAACGCGGCTGACATTGGCCACGGACAAGTTGCGTGCCCGGGCGACATGTGACAGGAGCTGGTGGTGCTCTAGTCGTTGGGACAGTAAATGGTGGGTCTGGTTGTGGGTATGTGTAGCCTGTTGTGCCGGTTTGAGGGGGGGAAGTGGCGCGAGGTACACAACGTCCATTTTGGTAGTAAGTGTTGCCTGTGCAAGTAATTTGAGGAGGTGCTGTGGGACGTTGTACACACACGCCATTTTGAAGAATAGTATTGCCAGTACAAACTGGTTTTGGGGGTGGCGTTGTTTTAGGCACACAACGACCGTTCACTAGATAAGTGTTGCCAGTGCAAGTGATTTGTGGTGGTTGAGTGGGCCGCTCGATACACTGGCCATTAACTAGGTAAGAGTTGCCTACGCACGTAGGCGGAGTTGGTCGTACTGTTGGGGGAGTTGGTCTGAGAACGCATCTGCCATTCTGAAGGATTTGATTGCTGCTACAAGTGACTGGGGGAGGAAGAGTTGGTTTGGGGACACATCTTCCATTTTGAAGTTGCTCATTGAAATTGCAACTAGGAGTTGGTGCGGGAGTTGGCTTGGGAACACATCGGCCATTAATCAACTGTTCATTGAAATTGCATCTTGGTGGTTGAGTAGGTCTAGGAACACATCTACCGTTTTGTAGAAGCTCATTGCTTGAGCAGGTTATTTGAGGTGGTGGAGTAGGTTTGGGAATGCATCTTCCATTCACCAATTGTTCGTTGAAATTGCAACGTGGTGGTGGAGGTGGAGGTGTAGGTTTAGGCACACATCTGCCGTTCTGCAGGATTTGATTACTACTACATGTGATTTGGGGTGGTGGGGTAGGTTTGGGAACACAACGACCGTTCACAAGTTGTTCGTTAAAATTGCATCTAGGGGCTGGCGGTGGTGTTGGCTTTGGTATACATCTTCCGTTTTGGAAGATCTCGTTAATTGAGCAAGATATCTGAGGTGGCGCGGTGGGTCTGGCCACGCATCTTCCGTTTTGAAGAATTTGATTGCCTGTACATGTGATTGGAGGTGGTGGAGTAGGTTTAGGTACACAGCGGCCGTTAATGAGTTGTTCGTTGAAGTTACATTTAGGAGGCGGGGGAGGTGGTGGTGTAGGCCGGGAAACACATCTACCGTTTTGAAGAATTTGATTACCGGAGCAAGTAATTGGGGGTGGCGGCGTTGGTTTTGGTACACAACGTCCGTTAACCAACTGCTCATTAAAGTTACACGATGGAGGTGGTGGGGCAGGCGTTGACTTAGGAACACAACGACCGTTTATGAGTTGTTCATTAAAGTTACACCTTGGTGGTGGGGGAGGAGGTGGTGTCGGGCGGGGAACACATCTGCCATTTTGAAGAATTTGATTACCAGAACATGTGATTGGAGGAGGTGGGGTTTGTTTTGGTATGCAACGGCCATTAACTAACTCTTCATTAAAATTACACCGTGGTGGTGGCGGTGGTGGTGTGGGTCTTGAAACACACCTACCATTTTCAAGAATTTGGTTACCCGAACAAGTGATCGAAGGAGGAGGTGTTGGTTTGGGCACACAACGACCATTGACTAACTGCTCGTTGTAGTTACAACGTGGGGTAGGTGGTGGTGTAGGGCGTGGAACACATCTGCCATTTTGCAGAATTTCGGTATTAGAACAAGAGAGGGGTGGTGGTGTGGGTTTAGGCACACATCGTCCGTTTTGGAAAATTTCGTTAATAGTGCAAGTGATTTGTGGTGGTGATGGTGTGGGTTTAGGGACGCAACGTCCGTTTTGCAGTATTTGGTTAGCTGAACAAGTGATTGGTGGTGGTGGTGGTGTAGCGCGTGGCACGCAGCGGCCGTTTTGCAAGACGGTGTTAGCGGTGCAAATGATCTGTGGCGGTGGTGCGGTCGGCTTTGGTACGCAGCGACCGTTTTGTAAGTACGTGTTGCCAGTGCAAATGGGTGCTGGTGGTGGTGTTGGTGGTGTTACCCGCGGAACACAGCGTCCGTTCTGAAGTTGAGTGTTACCTGTACAGATGAGCGGCGGGGCTGTCGTTGGACGCTGCACACACCTTCCTCCCTGCAGTATCTGATCATATCCACACGTCACAGGTGGTAAATAGGCGCTAGGCGTAGTGGGTGGAGGTGGTGTGGCACGCGGCACGCAACGGCCGTTCTGTAGAAACTCGTTAGGTCGGCATGAGACGCACTGTCCGTTCTGAAGGAACTGGCTACCAGTGCAAGGGTTGCGTGTTTCTTCAGTTGGCGTAATACAGCGGCCATTCTGATACACAGTGTTACCAACGCATTGGCACACGCCGCCGACAAGCTGTTGACCTCCTTGGCAACGCGGAGTAGGTGGTGGTGGGGTAGGTTTCGGCACACATCTACCGTTGACCAATTGTTCGTTGTAACTACAACTTGGGGGTGGTGGTGGTGGTGGTGGTTTAGGTACACATCTTCCATTCACCAATTGCTCATTGTATCCACAACTTGGTGGGGGTGGTGGTGGTGGGCGTGGTGTTGGTTTAGGAATGCATCTACCATTCACCAGCTCTTCGTTATAATTACACCTTGGTGGTGGCGGCGGAGGTGGAGCCGTAGGCCGAGTAAAGCACTGTCCATTTTGCTCATACTGATTTGGCCCACAACTGGTAGCAGGAGGAAGATAAGTAGGTTTACTAGTAGTAGGCGGTGGTGGTGTCGCACGTGGCACGCAACGTCCATTAATAAGTTGTTCATTGTAAGCACAGCTTGGCTGTGGTGGCGGTGTTGGTTTTGGTACACAGCGTCCATTAATTAATTGCTCATTGTAGCCACAGCTTGGGGGTGGTGGTGGAGGAGTCGGTCGGGGTACACAACGTCCATTTATAAGCTGTTCGTTGTACGCACAACTTGGTGGTGGTGGGGGAGGTGTAGGTCTTGGTACACAACGTCCATTAACAAGTTGCTCATTGAATCCACAACTTGGGGGCGGTGGTGGTGTTGGTTTCGGTACACAACGTCCATTAATTAATTGCTCATTGTAGCCACAGCTTGGGGGTGGTGGTGGAGGAGTCGGTCGGGGTACACAACGTCCATTTACAAGCTGTTCGTTGTACGCACAACTTGGTGGCGGTGGGGGAGGTGTAGGTCTTGGTACACAACGTCCATTAATTAATTGCTCATTGTATGCACAACTTGGTGGCGGTGGTGGGGGTGTTGCTTTGGGCACACAACGTCCATTAATAAGTTGCTCGTTGTATGCACAACTTGGGGGTGGCGGAGGAGGTGATACACAGCGTCCGTTTTGCAAGATGGTGTTTCCAGCACATTGACATCTACCCCCAATGAGTTGTTGACCTGGAGGGCAAGTAATTGGTGGTGGTGGTTGTGTAGGCCGTGAAACACAACGTCCATTTTGGAAGAACTCATTTGGACCGCAGGTTGGTGACGGAGGCAAGTATGTAGGTTGTGTAACAGGTGGCGGAGGAGTTGGTTTTGGAACGCACCTTCCATTGACCAGTTGTTCGTTGAAGTTACACCTTGGTGGTGGTGGTGGTGTTGGCCTAGCCACACATTGTCCATTTGCCAGGTATTCATTAGGAAGACATCTTGGTGGTGGGGGAGGGGTTGGTCTTGGTACACACCGTCCATTAATTAATTGTTCACCGTATGCACAAGTTATTGGAGGTGGTGGTGTGGGCCTTGGGACACATCTTCCTCCAGCGAGGTATTCATTAGGTCGGCAACTGGGTGGTTCAATCACTGGTGGTTGCGTAACTGGAGGCTTGGTGGCATCCACAGGTGGAAGGTATGCAGGTCCTCTAATGGTGGATGCAAATCTGACGTCATCACCAAAGTGGGTATTGCTGTAGTCAATTGTACTTCCGACAAAAGGCGCGTCTCTCGTAGGCTTCGAAGTACTGCTACCGCTACTGCCCCCGAGTCGGTTGAGGTCGGCGCCTGTCTCGCCCAAATTTGTAACGTCTAGTACTGGCGCTTTGTGCACAGAGGACTTGCCACCGGTGACGAATTCGTGATCCTTGTACCTGCAACACACCTCGGTCTTGGCGTTGCACAAGGACACCTGAAAACACCAGCGTAACTTCAGAACAAACCCAGTGAAAGCATACAACAATGTCAAGGACGCTGGACGCCATTACTTTATACTCGTTGCGCAAACACACAACAGGAGAAGTTACGCAAGCGCATATGTAGTATACTAATCTTGAATAGTGTGTACCTAATGATGATCTCACTCGCAAGCGAACAATAAACTAATAAATATTTATTAATCATATACGCGCGTGCATCTCATGCAACTCAAGTCGCATTGACACTATGCAAATTAATCAAACATGTTGGTGTCACTTAAAGATAGTAAAACAATTAAAAACTAATAGTGCGTCTGCTGTTTAAATCAGCTGAAACAAAGAACAACATTGTCCCTTCTGAACTGCGTTGGCAAAGATGGCGGACAACTTTCAAAAATTAATATTTCACGCAAGAGACGATTTTATTAGAAGCGCTGCTGGCCGCATCGAGTGAAAGTAGTTTTGGACCGGCTGTGATGTTTTTTGGCAGGCCGGATCGGATTTGAAGGATCTTAAATTTAAAAAAGTCGCACTCGCGCTCAGCGGTTGCGCAACGACGCTCTCGAATTTATTTATAGACGCGCCCGCCACGCACATCGTAAATTACCGAAAGTATAGACGCAAGCCCACAAGGACGTTCGTGCCGGCCGAGGATGAGGCGAGTGCGAAGACGCAAAAAGGTCGAGGTTCACGTAAGCTCACGTGACCTTCGGGTCAAATGTCGCCGACTACTCACCTGACTGCGCACCTGGATCAGCCCAAAACCGTCGTTGTTGATGACGCCGTCGCGGCACTCAGAGCGCCTCACGCAAATGTAGCCATCACCGCGGCACTCAGTTTTGTCGGCCCCTGAAGACACATGCGTATTAGTGCTTTGGAGAACGCGCGTCGGCTGCACCCCAAGAAAGCCGCCGCCGTCGTCATGTATCAGGTCGCCGTTGCCTATTGCAATCAGCGCAGATAATTTGACTCAAATAATAACTGTATTCACGGATTACTTACCAGCATGCAAGCCACCAGATATACCACCGTTAAAGAAGGGATTATTGGAGAGGTCCAGTTTCTGTGGTCCATGTGACGATGGTACGTCGGAGACGTGCACTTGTCCGTTGAGGAACGGATTGGCAGCAAGCGAGTGTGACTTGGCGGAGGCGGCACCGTGATGGTAGTCCGCTGTGGCACGACCTAATGGACTGTCTCGATCCATCCACCAAAATGGTTCGTTGGGCTGTTCAACAGCTGCAAGCGTGTTAATGGCTCGCGCTGCTTCATTAAAACCGCCTCCGTGTTGAGTTTGTGCCAGGTGCGACACGTCGCCGGCACAGAGGCCGAGCGCCGCCGCCGCTATAATCCCGATTAGGACGAGCGGCATTTTCACACCCCTCTAAACAAAAACAAACAAGAAACAAACCAACATTTAACACTTGTAATTCAATTCACATTATTTTAAATTTGTTAGGTTATCAATTCGTATGTTGTAACCATATGGCCAGAGATGGTAATTATGGCGAGCGGACAATGTGTAATTTGCGTGCGCGCGGTCTTCACGGCCCCGACGCCAGAGACCTTTAGATCGAAAGATCGAAATAAATTTTCCGCCCAAGGAAACCGCATGCCACTCGGCATCGCTTTTCGTGCGCGCGTGCATACGTAATTCGCGCCGACGACTGGTTTTATTAATTGTTTAATTAATATGCGGTAATCGCAGTGGAATTTGCGGCGTCCGATACCACGCGTTGCGTTTGCTTGAAAAACGAACCAAAATGCCACAATGTCTGTTTACCTCCAACTCACTTAAGTTTATTTGTTCACTCGCATCTTTATTTGTTATTATTTATTTCTACTCTATGCTCAGTCAATTTCTTTATGTGGTTTGACCTTTAAAAGACATCGCTAAATCCTCATGGCGATTTAAACAAGTATCATGCAAATCTATAGAGAACACTTGTTAGGTTTCATTTTACCAAACTATAATTTACAAACAAAACATAAATTTTATTGAGAACGTTTTTAAAACTTAAAAAATCAAATGTTCTGTTTTCTCAGAAATATCTGCTTGTCCTTAAAATATCTTAATGCTATAATATTTTTATTGAAATTCATAGAATAAATTGTGATCAATGTTTTCTGTATAAATCTACAAAAATGTTGAATGCAATTTTGTTTGTGTCTTCTTCTGGCGTTGAATTAATTTCTCAAACTTGAGACTATTAACCATCTACTTTTATCGTGCGATTATACAAATTATTGAACAAATATTCGAAATGTCACAATTTACCTTATTATATATGAAATTCGTATCAAATGCATCGATTAACAAATGTAAATATAAATTTAAATATAACTGCTAGGTGGCGTACTCATTAACCACAAAAGAATAATTTAACTTGAACTATTGAATAGAATTTCCTTTAAAAATCCTTTGCATGCAACTTTTAAGATTTGTATTTTTAATAGCTATGCACGAACTAATTTCAACAACATCTTCTTTCTTTGAGAGTGATTTGGTTGCATAAAATTAGGTTTTCACATTGTTTCATTTTACATCGTTGTTGGTCGTTACAGATGAGTCTTTGTAAAAGACTCATACTTGTTGGTATAATGTCAGTTTATTCCGATATTGCATAAGGAAAGTTTTTTCGTAATTCATATACATGTATTAATAAGTGTATTCTTTAATATTTTTCCTTAGTATTATACAAATTAGTTTATCACGACATATATTTTGAATCAGTTAGACATAAATCCATTATTTATTTTAATACAATTATAAAGAACAAACAAGAAAAATATTACTTTAATTCCTTTGAGATTTATTAGAATTAATTCACCAAACCCACTTAGTACCGCAGAATAATTTTTCAACCCTCTTTCGTGAAATATTTGTGTTTTATCGGGTTTGCACGCGACCAGTGCGCAAAATTCAGACATGCGGAAAGAAATTCCTCCGTCGGTGTATATTTTACGTTGGCAGGAATTCGATTTGCAACCGCGAAAATTTGCATATAAGAGCAATTATTCAACCATTTTTCGCAGCCATTTGTTTTTTCGAGATGCGGGAATTAATTTCTCCGTCGGTGGTGGTTTAATTGTTGCAGGAATTCGTCCTGCAACCCGCGAAAATGTGCATATAAGAGTAATTTCAACCCTTTTTGTGAAATGTTTGTGTTCTTTTCGGGTTTCATGATCTAGCGGCGTAGTAATTTCATCGTGGTTTCAGAAAGCGAATTAAATTTCCCGGTTGCGTGGTATTTAATTGTTGCAGGAATTTAAATCGCAATAGGCAAAAATTTGCATATAAGAAATAATTTTTCAACCTTATTATGTGATATTTTTGAGTTTTTTCTGCTAGTCCCGCAATCTAGGCGGCGTAGTAATTTCAGCGTGGCGTTCAGAGATGCGAATTAAATTTTCCGTTGAGTGATATTTAATTGTTGCAGGAATTCGACCTACAAATGCTTTGAAAATTTGTATATAAGAGCAATTTTTTCAACCCTTTTTGTGAAATGTGTTTTTCGGGTTTGCACGCGATCTAGGCGGCGTAGCAACCTTCGCGGGCGCTCCAGATACGCGGAATTAAATTCCTCCGTCGGGTGGTATTTGATTGTTGCAGGAATTGATTTTGCAACCCGCGAAAATTTGCATATAAGAGTAATTATTCAACAATTTTCGAAATATTTGTTTTCGTTTGCAACGCGATCTAAGCGACGTAACTTCACCGGCGTCTAGACATGCGGGAATTAAATTCTGTCGGGTGGTATTTAATTGTAGAATTAATTCGACTAAACTCACTTAAAATTTGCATATAAGAGTAATTATCCAACAATTTTCGAAATTTTGGTTTTTTTCGGTTTGCACGCGATCTAAGCGACGTAGCAACTTCACCGTGGCGTCTAGGACATGCGGAATAAATTCTCTGTCGGGTGGTATTTAATTGTAGAATTAATTCGACTTGCAACCTACGAAAATTAGCATATAAGAATAATTTTTCAACCTCTTTCGTGAAATATTTGTTTTTTTCGGGTTTGTAAGCGATCTAGGCGACGTAGTAACTTCACCGTAGCCCAGATATGCGAATTAATTTCTCCGTCGGTGGTGCATTTAATTGTTGCATAATTCGAATTTACAACCCGCAAAAATGCATATAAGGGCTGTCCATTAATCACGTGATCTTTTTCATTTTTGACCCTCCCCTTTTGGTGATGTCGAGGTTTAAGATTACCCCAACCCCACACCCATCATCACGTGTATTTTAATCCCAACAAAGAATAATAAAATTGCGCTAAGCAATTAATTACCATTTTTACAAAGAATAATAGAGAATTTTGGGCCATGGCATGCAAATGCAGATGTTGAAGAATTTAGAAGGCACAGTGATGGTGAGAAGGAAGCTTGCACTACGGACATAAAATTAAAGTAAATGCTAAAGTAGTAGAATTTGAAGTAAAAGAGCAATAAAAGTACTTAAGTAAAGATGTTGGGAAATAACTGGCGGGCTACTATTGGCGACCGCATGACAAGTCGGGTAGTCGGTTTGCGAGGTTTCCGTTCCTTGTCCCGGTAACGGCAAGTTATGGGCTTCACTACACGCCGCTTTCTCTCTTTAGAAATCGTGCGTTTGATTTGAAAATAAATACACGTGATATCTACTCCACTCCCTCCCCTGGTGATTTTTCGTGATTTTTACCAAACCCCTCCCCCTCTTCCATGCCCTCACGTGATTAATGGACATCCCTAAGAGTAATTTTAACCCCTTTTTGTGAAAATGTTTGTGTCTTTTCGGGTTTGTACGCGATCTAGGGGGCGTGAAAGTAAATCTCCAGCGGAGCGTTTAGATATGCGGAATTAAATTCTCCGTCGGTTGGTCATTAATTTTGCAGGATATCGACCAGTTACTCAAGTGAAAATTTGCATATAAGAGTTATTTCTTCAACTCTTTTCGTGAAATATTTGTGATTTATCGGGTTTGCACGCGATCTATGCGGCGTAGTAATTTCACCGTAGCGTCTAGAGATGCGGAATTAAATTTTCCGTCTGATGGTATTTAATTATTATAGGAATTTGACCTGCAACCCCCGAAAATTGGCATATAAGAGTAATTTTTCAACCCTTTTCTTGTGAATTATTTGTTTTTTTCGGATTTGCACGCGATCTATGCGGCGTAGTAATTTCACCGTAGCTACTAGAGATGCGGAATTAAATTGTCCGTCGGGTGGTATTTAATGGTTGTAGGAATTTGACCTACAACCCCCGAAAATTTGCATATAAGAGTAATTTTTCAACTTTTTTTCGTGAACTATTTTGTTTTTTCGGGTTTACACGCGATCTATGCGAGGTAGCAACTTCACCGTAGCGTCTAGATATGCGGAATTAAATTCTCTGTCGGGTGGTATTTAATTGTAGAATTAATTCGACTTGCAACCCGCGAAAATTTGCATGTAAGAATAATTTTTCAACCCTCTTTTCGTAAAATGTTCGTGTTTTTTTTGGGTTTGCACGCGATCTAGGCGGCGTAGCAACTTCACCGTGGCGTCTAGAGATGCGGAATTAAATTTTCCGTCGGGTGGTATTTAATTGTTGCAGGAATTCGATTTGCAACCCGCGAAAATTTGCATATAAGAGTAATTATTCAACCATTTTTCGTGAAATATTTGTTTTTGGGTTTGCACGCGATCTATGCGGCGTAGTAACTTCAACGTAGCGTCTAGATATGCGGAATTAATTTCTCCGTCGGGTGGTATTTAATTGTTGCAGGAATTCTACCTGCAACCCGCGAAAATGTGCATATAAGAGTAATTTTTCAACCCTTTTTTGTGAAATGTTTGTGTTTTTTCGGGTTTGCATGCAATCTAGGCGGCGTAGTAACTTCAGCGTGGCGTCTAGAGATGCGGAATTAAATTTTCCGTCGAGTGGTATTTAATTGTTGCCGGAATTCGACCTACAACCAGCGAAAATTTGCATATAAGAGTAATTTTTCAACCCTATTTTCGTGAAATATTTGTGTTTTATCGGGTTTGCATGCGATCTAGGCGGCGTAGCAACTCCCGCGGGGCGTCTAGATATGCGGAATTAAATTCTCCGTTGGGTGGTATTTAATTGTTGCAGGAATTCGACCTGCAACCGGCAAAAATTTGCATATAAGGGTAATTTTTCAACTATTTTTTGTGAAATGTTTGTGTTTTTGCGGGTTTGCACGCGATCTAGGCGGCGTAGGAATTTCAGCGTGGCATCTAGAGATGCGGAATTAAATTTTCCGTCGAGTGGTATTTAACTGTTGCCGGAATTCGACCTACAACCAGCGAAAATTTGCTTATAAGAGTAATTTTTCAACCCTTTTTTGTGAAATGTTTGTGTTTTTTCGAGTTTGCACGCGATCTAGGCGGCGTAGGAATTTCAGCGTGGCATCTAGAGATGCGGAATTAAATTTTCCGTCGAGTGGTATTTAATTGTTGCCGGAATTCGACCTACAACCAGCGAAAATTTGCATATAAGAGTAATTTTTTAACCCTTTTTTGTTAAATGTTTGTGTTTTTTCGGGTTTGCACGAGATCTAGGCGGCGGACTAACTTCATCGTGGCATCTAAAGATGCGTAATTAAATTCTCCGTCGGATGGTATTTAATTGTTGCAGGAATTCGACCTGAAACCCGCGAAAATGTGCATATAAAAGTAATTTTTTAACCCTTTTTTGTGAAATGTTTGTGTTTTTTCGGGTTTGCACGCGATCTAGGCGGCGTAGTAACTTCAGCGGGGCGTCTAGAGATGCGGAATTAAATTTTCCGTCGAGTGGTATTTAATTGTTGCCGGAATTCGACCTACAACCAGCGAAAATTTGCATATAAGAGTAATTTTTCACCCCTTTTTGTTAAATGTTTGTGTTTTTTCGGGTTTGCACGAGATCTAGGCGGCGGACTAACTTCATCGTGGCATCTAAAGATGCGTTATTAAATTCTCCGTCGGGAGGTATTTAATTGTTGCAGGAATTCGACCTGCAACCGGCAAAAATTTGCATATAAGGGTAATTTTTCAACTATTTTTTGTGAAATGTTTGTGTCTTTTCGGGTTTGCACGCGATCTAGGCGGCGTAGTAACTTCAGCATGGCGTCTAGAGATGCGGAATTAAATTTTCCGTCTTGTGTTAGTATTGCTTTAAAAGATGTCATATAAAATTAAAATTATTTGTAAATGTATTATTTATTATGTTTCTCTCCCCGCACCTATCACTTTTAGATATCCAGGAAGAAACATCACCCTGTATATAAATTTTCTTTAATGCCCAGTGAAAAATGAGCTATCTATATTGTTTTGGGTGATTTTCTTTTTTAATTGAAGATTTTCTTTTGATACACCCTGTATATAATTTTCCACTTATGTCACGCGAAAACAGGGCCTAATTTGCTATTTTCCAGTGTTATCTTTTGTAATTTCGCAGCAGTTAGCATAGCGCGGCTATGCAGGTCATAAACATGTTTTAAAATGACATCATTGTTCTCTAATATTGAACTTGCAAGTTCTGAAGTTGTATTGTATTTAATTTGTTAATAAAGAAATGTAAAAGGCAATGGTAATATCTTATGTGGTTTGTGCACCTCCCCTTTCTATCATTTCAGGTATAGGTCAGAACAGGAGAGTATTTCTTAGTTAGTGTTGTCGTCGGTTCTGAAAGAGACGACCCTTGGAAATATATCTACAAGTCCTTATAAGGAGTTCTCCCACTCGGGGGATGATCCCCACTATAAAAATTGTTAAGGTAGCCTGTATGATTTGTGTACTCCATCTTTCATTTCAGGTACAGGTAAGAACTTGTAAGAATATTTTGAAGTGTCCCCTCCCTTGAGGCGACTTAAAAATTAGAAATTCTTTTACAAGTTCTTAAAAGGATGTCCTTATAAGGAGTTCCCTCTCTCTGGGGATGATCCCCCACCATAGGCATTGTTGATATGCCTGATAATTCCGGGGATGAAGCGCAGAGACATCGTAGCTGTAGGATGGGCCGGGAGCAATGGTCGGATCGAAGCAGTGGGTGATCGACCGTAGACTGTCTTATAACGACACGTGCCAAAAAATTTAAAAATTCTGTCACCCCTATTCTCATTTCTTCCTGTACTCTCTTCTCTTCTTGTTTCTTCTCCTCCTATTCTCTCTCTTCTACTTATTCTTACTGTTGCTTCGTCGTATCTGCTTTTCAAGTTATTTCTAACATATGAATCTTGAATTTTTGTGGTATGCAACCCACATTTCGTAAATTTCTTATTATTTAATAAAATTGCCGTCTACAACTGAGACTCGATCCACGAACTTCCAGCATGCTAGCATATGCACATGCCACCTGAGCCACAACGCTCACTTATCAAACTCTATTCGTTTCAGGTATAAATGAGCCGCTTATTTTGAAAGTGGCCTAACTCCATTTATCTTCAAATCGAGATATTGAAAGTTTTGCGTTTCAATGAATTTAAAAATATACGTATAAGATACAAAGGAGTCATACTGCTTAAGCGTATCTTAGGATGTTAAATTTACTGTTCCTGTTAAAGTAGTGGCAATTATTAAGTAAATAACGTGAGTTTCCTTATCAAGAATGGAGTTGGGCCACTTTCAAAATTAACAGCCAGATTCATTATAAAATTTGAAGATGCCCAAGTCCATTCAACATAATTTAAGATGTTTCAAATTGAAGAAAAAAACGTCTTCGTTTCACAGGCAGCTTCGTGAAGTAATACATTTTGTTTGTTAAAATCTGCCAAACCCCAAAACTTCTCAAAAATATTCTTTCTTTCTTCTTCATTATAATTTTTTGTGCACGCATTCCGACAACCACAATCTTTGGTTCGAAATTTTTTTCATGAACAATACTTCCGGTTTAACTGCAATATCTTTTTCCTGAATTCCGTTTTATCTTTCGCACTTTTTGGATATATGGTGCATCAATCTTTTCTCCATTGTTATTTGAATCTTCATCCTCTGACGAGGAATATTATTTTATAACTCTTTTTCTTATTCGCTTTTTTTAAATTATTAATTACTATTTCTTTTTCACTATCTGAACTGAGCGGTCTTCTTCGGTTCTTCCTCATGCTTGCAATAATTTCTATAATTTAATATTAAATTTTAAGTTTTATATTAATTAAACGTACAGGTTAATTAACTAACGCAATTGTCCCAAAAATGAGGTGGACTTGTAAATACTAATTAATTGAAATTACCTTCATCGCAGCTTTCCGACATTATCAATAGTAAATACCTTGATGTAACTATAAATGGAGTTAGGCCACTTTCAAACCACACGGGTCAGTTATTCAATTAATTCGGAAAACCTATGTGTAAAAAATGTACCGTATTTTCTCTGAATATAAGCAATCTGAAGTGCGTCACTGATAAATAACATGAAGTTGTACATGTAACCATGGTAACCGGCAAAAAATTGAAAAACGGAGTTAGGTCACTTTCAAAATAAGCGGCTCAAATGTTGTTCTATATCTCACCTTTTTAAAAACATCAACATTTATACATCGCTTATACGCATTTCAAACACAGGTAATCAAATATAATATAATCTTTAAATCTAATTCTGAAAACGACAATAGGAACACAGAGAGATAACTGCTTCAAAATATACTATTAAATTATATTTTATTCAAACTCATTTAATCAAGACAGTACATACACAAATTTAAGTACATGTGTTCAACGTTACTTACAAAAGTGACTTAAGTTACAAGTTACACTTACTTGAATGTTTAATCTTCACAAACTGGTACGGTTTAGATTTCCACACAGGAAACAATCGAAGTATATTTCCACGTTTGAATTATTTAATAAATGTACAAAAATATATAAATCCAGTAAGAATTCTTCGTGTCGACGAGAGATATCCGATGGCCGACGGCAAAAACGTGCGAACAATGTAAAACTGCACAATTCTGGCTTCCACGCGCGATAATTCATTAACTGCACGCCGCACTAGTCCGTTAATTCTAAATGTTATCTGTGCTAATTGATTCAAATTCAACTACCGACTTAAAATCACAAGAAACGCGCAAACTAGTTACGAAGATCGACTTGTGATCCAAACACGTGTGTTCCGAACAACATCGCACGATCGACTAAACAAGGAAAAGATATAGCAGGCTACGTGAACGGAGCAGATAAAAGAATGATAAGAATTTCAATACTCACAATTGAATGCGGGCACGATTGCACGATCTCGTACACCAAGATCACGTTCAACTCCTTGACGTCTAAAAACAAACACAAATCAGATGCGCTGTGATTTGTGACTTCAATTCATTTTTAATTCGCTAATTTAACTAAAACTTTATAGCACCCAAATATAAAGATAACAAAAATAAGATTTAATATGGTAATAATATATTTTTTACTATGTAAATTTTCTCATCACAATAGTCTTCAACAAATGTTGCATCCACATTGTAATATCCGACTGATGAAACTCACAAGAAGACACTAAATTTGCGCATTTATGAAAATTTTAAACACAATTCATCGTAACTCATTTGTCATTAACTGCAGTCGATTGCCAATTGAATATTGCACTTTAAAAACACGAGATATAATACTACGGAGATGCGCTAAGACTGCACAACTAACCTGCCGGGGCCAAGGACAGATGACAATATTGAGTGCGCAAGCAAAGTAAAGTATGCAGCGCATGCGTACATGTTGGATTCTACCGGTAAGTGCGTATATAGAAGAAATTAAATAGTTACAATCTGATATAAGAATGGTTATCCTACGATGTCGAGTTCGGGTTCAAAACATCTAAAACTAGCAAGAATTTGTTCTTCGAACCACAAAAATGCAATTTTTGTTACTAATTAATGAGCTAATGAACAAAGTTATTTATGAAAAAGATAAAGAAAATTTATACTTACAATCTAACAAAAGAATGGTTCTCCTACGATGTCAGGTTCGGGTTCAAAATACCTAAAACGAGCAAAAATTAGTTCTTCAAAACACAAAAATGCAATTTTTATTGCTAATTGATAAGCTAATCACCAAAGTTATTTACGAAAATGATAAAGAAATTTAATACTTACAATCTGATACAGGATAGCTTCTCCTACGATGTCGGATTCAGTTTCAAAAAACCTAAAACAAACATAAATTAGTCCTTTGAAACACAAAAATGCAATTTTTGTAGCTAATTAATAATCTAATCACCAAAGTTATTTATGAAAATGATAAAGCAATTAAATACTAACAATCTGATACAAGAATGGTTCTCCTACGATGTCGGGTTTAGGTTCAAAATACCTAAAACAAGCATAAATTTGTGCTTCAAAACACAAAAATGCAATTTTTATTGCTAATTGATAAATTAATCACTAAAATAATTTATGAAAATAATAAAGAAATTTAATACTTACAATCTGATGTGAGAATAGTTTTCCTACGATGTCGGGTTCAGGTGCAAAACACCTAAAACAAGCAATAATTTGTTCTTCGAAACACAAAAATGCAATTTTTGTTGCTAATTAATAATCTAATCACCAAAGTTATTTATCAACGTGATTAAGAAATTTATTTCTTACAATCTAATGTGAGAATATTTCTCCTACAGAGTCGGCTTCAGGTGAAAACCCCTAAATCAAACAAAAATTTGGGCTTCAAAACACAAAAATGCAATTTTTGTTGCTAATTTGTAACTTAATCACTAAAATTATTTATGACAGTGATAAAGAAATTTTATACTTACGATCTGATACAAGAAAGCTTCTCCTACGAGGTCGGATTCAGTTTTAAAAAAACCTAAAACAAACACATATTAGTCCTTTGAAATACAAAAATGCAATTTCTGTTGCTAATTATTAAGCTAATTACAAAAGTTAATTATGAAAATGATAAAGAAATTCAATACCTACAATCTGATATAAGAATCGTTTCTCTACAACGTCGGGTTCAGGTTCAAAACACCTAAAACAAGCAAAAATTAGTCCTTCGAAACACAAAAATGCAATTTTTGTTACCAATTAATATGCTAATCACTGAAGCTATTTATGAAAATAATAAAGAAACTTAATACTTACAATCTGATACAAAAATGGTTCTCCTACGATGTCGACTTCAGGTTCAAAACACCTAAAACAATCAAAAATTAGTCCTTCGAAACATAAAAATGCAAATTTTTGTTGCTAATTATTTAGCTAATTACTATAGTTATTTATGAAAATGATAATGAAATTTAATACTTACAATCTGATATAAGAATCGTTCTCCTATGATGTGGGGTTCAGGTTCAAAACACCTAAAACAAGCGAAAATTAGTCCTTCGAAACACTAAAATGCAAGTTTTGTTATTAATTAATAAGCTAATCACCAATGTTATTTATGAAAATGATAAAGAAATTTAATACTTGCAATCTGATTCAAGAATGGTTCTCCTATGACGTCGGGTTCAGGTTCAAAACACCTAAAATCAGCAAAAATTAGTCATTCGAAACACAAAAATGCAATTTTTGTTGCTAATTAATAAGCTAATCACCAATGTTATTTACGAAAATGATAAAGAAATTTAATACTTACAATCTGATACAAAAATGATTCTCCTAGGACATCGTCGGTTCAAAACACCTAAAACAAACAAAAATTAGTTCTTTCAGGTTCAAAACACCTAAAAGTTCACGTGCAAAACACCTAAAACAAGCGAAAATTAGTCCTTCGAAATACCAAAATGCAATTTTTGTTGTTAATTAATAAGCTAATCACCAATGTTATTTATGAAAATGATAAAGAAATTTGTTACTTACAATCTGATACATGAATGATTCTCCTAGGACATCGGGTTCGGGTTCAAAAGACCAAAAACAAGCAAAAATTAGATCTTCGAAACACAAAAATGCAATTTTTGTTGCTAATTAATAAGCTAATCACCAATGTTATTTATGAAAATGATAAAGAAATTTGTTACTTACAATCTGATACATGAATGATTCTCCTAGGACATCGGCTTCAGGTTCAAAACACCTAAAACAAACAAAAATTAGTTCTTCGAAGCACAAAAATGCAATTTTTGTTGTTAATTAATAAGCTAATCACCAATATTATTTATGAAAATGATAAAGAAATTTAATACTTACAATCTGATGAAAGAATAGTTTTCCTTCGATGTCGAGTTCACGTGCAAAACACCTAAAACAAGCAAAAATTAGGCCTTTGAAACACCATAAAGTATTGTCAATAATACAATTTTTGTTGCAACGCGAGCAAGCAAATTACAAACTCAAAATAAAATGATAACAACCGCGAGAAACACGCCCGAGTCAACCAACGACCTGCTCATAGCTGCGCTGAGTGGCGCTGAGCATACCGCGCAGCGCAGTCAGCAACGCGGCATGATAATACGCGATAATACTGCGCGCACGCTCCAAGAAAACGGGCACTATTTGCAACAAATAATGTTTCATGCAGAATAATCAACTCAGGACTCATGGAATGAAAGAATGCGCCAAAATCACTTGGATAATATATTCAAGATGCGTATAATCCAGCGGTAGCAAATGACTCGCGATATTGCAATACTATTACCGAATTAGAAAAGAAACTTTGTGAACTGCGACTGTGATCACCCAATGAGAAACGAACTTTAAAACCGGCGAACGTCGAACGTACGAACAACGCACAAAATAAGACTGATTCGAAATAAATTGCGGACGAAAATAAACTTGTAAAAAAACGCGTGTAGCGCTATCTATTGACAAGCAAAATAATGAGGCAGCAGAAAGTTGCATAAAGACTTAAACCACTAGCGCCATCTAGTGGCAAGGGACCAATATACTCAATTTTTGTAGAAAACTGTAAGACCGTACAGCCTTTCTCCCGAACCAGTTATTTTTCTGTTGTGTAGGCTACATGATTGGCAAGCACAAAAAGTTTAATTCTACAGCAATTTTATTGTATTGTAGTTTATATGTACCACGAAAAATAAGAATGCAATTTTTGTTGCTAATTAATAATTTAATCACAAAAATTATTTCTGAATATGATAAAGAAATTCAGCGCTTACAATCTGATACGAGAATATTTCTCCTACGATGTCGGGGTCAGGTGCAAAATCCAGACAGCAAGCAAGAATTAGTCCTTTGCTAAACAAGAATACAATTTATGTAGCAAATTAAAATTTTTAATTATGATGAGGATGAAGTGATTACGCACTCAGCAACCACCCCAAAGAATAGTATGTTTATATAATAACAATTATGTTATATTGTAATAATGTCTCGATTTTATTTATTTAAAAATCGTGATATCAAAACAAAATGTTGCTTCTTTGCCCCGGGTCTCTCTTGGTAGACGTCGACGGTGGCAAGAGTTGAGTGTTTCTTCCTAAAACAGTAAACATATTTTAATTGAAATAAACAATAGTTTTATAACCAGATTTGTAATGGTTTTATCAAGAGTCGTTTTGCAACATCCATTTCTGATTTAAATAAAAATATTTTCATAGATGTATAAATTGAATAAATGAAGTTAACTTGCAGGTCGTTCCGGAACAATTACTGTCGATCTGCATCTTCACATCTCATCAATAAACGCAGTCAGTTACATTTGCAACGATTGTATCTCTGTGTTCATTTTGCAGTCCACTACACTACTTCTAGATTACGACTACAGCTACAACTACAACCTACGACTACGCGCTTGCTATGACTACACTACACTACACTACGAACTGCTCGTGAACACATGAAACACAACCTTGCGTTATCTCATTCTGACATTTGTAGATCAATTTTATGTTCTCTATAGAATATGACATCTTCCATTATAATGTTTCGTCTTCTTAACTTTCAAGTTCTTTTGGCAAAACTAAAACAAAAAACATCAAAGCAATTAAAAAAATTATAACAATAAATTTTTTGGTGCTGGATAGTTGTTGTTGTCGCATGCCCTCTATTAGTTAAATCCCGACATTGGCAAGAAATGTTGTAACCCAGCTTCTATGAATAAAAAATATTGAATGAATTAATAATATTGTAAGCAAAATTTGATTGTAAAAATCCTTACCTCAGCATCTTGGCGGCTGTTTATACCCCTAGAGGCAGCAGCCCATTCCTGGATGGGTATACACATCGAGCCCTGACCCCCAAAGGCTTGTTCTCGCTGAGAAGCTGGATACGTCAGGATCGACCGCGGCGTGGATGCAACTGCTCCACATCGGCCTCTTCTCCAGCTACAGATAACATTAACAAAATAAGTAAATAAACAATTTTGTAAATAAATTTATTCTTATAACATTTACCTCAGTTTCTTTTTAGCTTTGCGAGGGTAGGAACCCATTCCTTGATGGGTATACACATCAGGCCCTGACCCTTCGGGGCAGCTAGAAATCTGACTGATTTGGAACCTTCAGGATCGACCTCGGCGGGGACGGATAACATCATCTTCTTCGGCTTCTGTTAACAGAAAAAATAAATAAACTTAAATATTATTGAAACCAAAAATTAATTGTTATTGTTACTCACTTCAACTTCTTATGAAATGAGCCTTATTTAAATAGAACGCGTCATCTCTCTTTGGCCCTCAGGATAGAAGGATCTTCTTGTTTCGCATTCAAAAGCAAAACAACAACGTGCAACATGACAATTAATTCAATGACTATGACTTTTCGTGCAGTTAAAAAATGTGTATAAACTGTTGATGCATCTGTAAAGTAATTATTAAATATCTCAGAACTCCCGCACTGTATTACAACACTCGCGCACTCCCGCACTAACCCTTGCTTAACTAAACGCAACATACATACATACATACATACATACAATATAATGTATGTGTACTGCACATTCTGTTGACATCAGCATTTCAGAATTTCCATTCTCATTTCATTTCTCTTTCTGAGATTTATTCATTTCCATTTTCAGTTGATGATGAAATTCCTAGTTCCAATATCTGTTATCCTTCTTCTGGGGTTCTGTTTACTGTTTTCTGCGTCCTGGACAGTTGTTAAACAGTGACACTGAAAAATAATGATGCGCGCACTTATATTTGAACACTACTCACTCACTTCACTGCACTGCACTGCACTGCACTATATATATGTTATTTATGATAATGTGTATTATGTGTTGGTGATTGTGTTAAAATGTAAGGTAAGATGTGCCGAAGCACACCAATACCCAAGAACCCTGACAATGATCATGAACAGGGCAAAAAGTGTAAATGTGTGTGAGTGTAAGTGTATGTAATTGTTTTCACTCCCGCACTATGAAACAACACTCGCGCACTATAATCACACTCGCGCACTTCACTGCACTGCACATTCATTATCACAATCTCATTTCATTTCTCTTTCTGAGATTTATTCATTTCCATTTTCAGTTGATGATGAAATTCCTAGTTCCAATATCTGTTATCCTTCTTCTGGGGTTCTGTTTACTGTTTTCTGTCCTACATAAACAGTGAACTGAAAAATATGATTGCCTATATTTGACTTCTACTTCACTTCACTGCACTGCACTAATATATATGTTATTTATGATAATGTGTATGTGTTGGTGATTGTGTTTAAATGTAAGGTAAGATGTGCCGAAGCACACCAATACCCAAGAACCCTGACAATGATCATGAACTGGCAAAAGTGGTCCAGGGTGTGTAAGTGTATGTAATTGTTAACTAAAGAAATTTATTTCACTCCCGCACCATGATACAACACTCGCGCACTATATAAAAACACACAAACACTTTTTTATCACAGTTATTGTTGTTATTCATGTTCATTCCAATTTCCAAATTGATTTCTTGCTCTTCTCAATTTGTTGATTCTAACTTGAAGTTTTAACATAGTTTCGTTTGAATTCTTGATTCTGTACATGACTGTTAACTGATAGTTGCCTGATTGATTCTACGAAGATCAGTTGAAATTAAAGCAGATTTCGTCTTCTAGCATTGAAGTTCTTTTCCAAAAACTAAGAAAAACAAATCGTTTTCAAATTATTAAAGCAATTGAAGTTCTTTTGGAAAAATTCATAATTTGTAAAATTCATAATTTATGTACCCCTTATTCCCTATACTTGAAACCTCATCTTGATCTCTAAGGAAATGATGTCATCATCCAGCTCCTATAAATAATTATATACATATTAATGAGTACGTAATCTATTTAACATCAGACTAATAATTCAAATCATGTACAATATTAAAATCTTATTTAAATTCTATAATTAAGATAATATTAATAATATTTTGAGCAGAATGTAATTAATTTTGATTGTAATGACACTCACCTCAGCATCTTGGAGGCTGTTCAATCCTCTGGAGGCAGCAGCTCATTCCTTGATGGGTATACACATCGAGCCCTGACCCCAAAGGCTTTTTCTCGCTGAGAAGCTGGATACGTCTGGATCGACCGCGGCGTGGATGGAACTGCTCCGCACCTGTTCTCCAGCTACAGATAACATTAACAAAATAAGTAAATAAACAATTTTGTATTAATAAATTTATTCTTATAACATTTACCTCAATTTCTTTCCGGCTTTGCGAGGGTAGGAACCCATTCCTTGATGGGTATACACATCAGGCCCTGACCCTTAGGGACAGTTGGAAAGCTGGCTGATTTGGGACCTTCAGGATCGACCTCGGCGGGGACGGATAACATCATCTTCTTCGGCTTCTGTTAACAGTAAACATAAATAAACTTAAATATTATTGAAACCAAAAATTAATTGTTATTGTTACTCACTTCAACTTCTTATGAAATGGGCCTTATTTAAATAGATTGCGTCATCTCTTCTTGGTCCTCAGGATGGAAGAATCTTCTTGTTTCGCATTCAAAAGCAAGACAACAACGTGCAACATGACAATTAATTCAGTGACTTTTAATTTTCGTGCAGTTAAAAAATACGTATAAATTGTTGATGCATCTGTAAAGAAATTATTAAATATCTCAGCACTTCCGCACTATATTGCAACACTCGCGCACTCCTGCACTAACACTTGCTTAACTAAATGCACAATATAATTCAACACTTGCGCACTATAATACACAACACTTCACTGCTCTGCACATTCTGTTGACATCAGCATTTCAAAATTTCCAATCTCATTTCATTTCTCATACTGAGATTTATTCATTTCCATTTTCAGTTGATGATGAAATTCCTAGTGCCAATATATATATTATCCTTCTTCTGGGGGTTTGTCTTTTGTTTTCTGCGTCCTGAACAGTTGTTAAACAGTGACATTGAAAAATAATGATGCGCGCACTTATATTTGAACACTACTCACTCACTTCACTGCACTACTGCACTGCACTAATATATCTGTTATTCATGATAATGTGTATTATGTGTTGGTGATTGTGTTAAAATGTAAGGTAAGATATGCCGAAGCACACCAAAACCCAAGAACCCTGACAATGATCATGAACAGAGTAAAAAGTGTAAATGTGTATGTGTGTGTGTGTAAATGTATGTAATTGTTAACTAAAGCAATTTGAATTTCACTCCCGCACTATAATACACAACACTTCACTGCACTGCACATTACACTACTCACTCACTCACTTCACTGCACTGCACTAATATTTATGTTATTTATGATAATGTGTATGTGTTGGTGATTGTGTTAAAATGTAAGGTAAGATGTGCCGAAGCACACCAAAACCCAAGAACCCTGACAATGATCATGAACAAGGCAAAAGTGTGAGTGTATGTGTGTATGTATGTAAGTGTAAAACTGATGAAATTCGATTTTCACTCCCGCACTATGAAACAACACTCGCGCACTACAATACACAGCATTTCATAATTTCTATTCTCATTCCATTTCTCCTTCTGAGATTTATTCATATCCATTTTCAGTTGATGATGAAATTCCTAGTTTCAATATCTATTATCCTTCTTCTGGGGTTTTGTATATTATATTTGAACACTACTCACTCACTTCACTGCACTGCACTAATATATATGTTATTTATGATAATGTGTATGTGTTGGTGATTGTGTTAAAATGTAAGGTAAGATGTGCCGAAGCACACCACTACCCAAGAACCCCGTCAATGATCATGAACAAGGCAAAAAGTGTGACTGTATGTGTGTATGTATGCAAGTGTAAAAACTGATGAAATTCGATTTTCACTCCCGCACTATAATTCAACACTCGCGCACTATATTGCAACACTCGCGCATTAGTAATTATGAACAACACTGCACAGAAGTTGATACGTTGAAAATGTGATATGTAATGTGTAGATTCTGTTTACCATTTTATTCGTTTCCCATTGAAAACTGGCTGGTCCATGTTTGCTTTTCAATTTAAATAACTTTTTATCTTCAATTTTCCCATTCCCATATTCATTTCATTCGATTTAAGATTGTCTTCTGGATTCTGAATCTCATTCTAAGATTTGTTGATCAATTTATTTGCTCTGTTGAATGTGACTTCTTCGATTACAATAATTCGTCTTCTAGCATAGAAGTTCTTTTGGAAAAACTAAGAAAAACAAACAAAAATATTAAAGCAATTAAAAATTCATAATTTGTGTACGTGTTTATGCCCCTTGCCCTCTATACTTGAAACCTCATCTTCATATCTAAGGATATGATGTCATCATCCAACTCCTGTAAATAATTATATACATATTTATGAGTACGTATTTAATAATATTGTGAGCAGAATATAATTAATTTTGATTGTAATGACACTAACCTCAGCATCTTGGCGGCTGTTCATTCCCCTGGAGGCAGCAGCCCATTCCTTGATGGGTATACACATCGAGCCCTGACCCCCAAAGGCTTGTCTCGCTGAGAAGCTGGATACGTCAGGATGGAGTTCGGCGTGGATGGAACTGCTCCAAATCGGCCTTTTCTTCAGCTGCAGGTAACATTAACAAAATAAATAAATAAACAATTTTGTTTTAATAAATTGATTCTTATAACATTTACCTCAGTTTCTTTCCAGCTTTGCGAGGGTAGGAACCATTCCTTGATGGGTATACACATCAGGCCCTGACCCACAAAGGCGGAAAGATAGCAGAGCCGAGACTCAGGATCGACCTCGGCGTGGACGGATCACATTTACTTCTTCGGCTTCTTCTTTTAACATTAAAAATATATATGAAAATAAATATTATTGCCACAAAATATTTATTGTAATTGTAACTCACCTCAACTTCTTTTGAAATGTGCCTTATATCAAAAGAACGCCTCATCTCATCTTAGTCCTCGGATGGAAGAATCTTCTTGTTTCGCATTCAAAAACGAAAAATAACAACGTGCAATATGACTATTTCAAACAGTGACTTTGTATTGACTTTTCGTGCAATCGTGCAAACTGTTGATCTGTAAAAAAATTATTAAATATTTCACGGCACTCCCGCACTCGCACTAACACTTGTATAACGGCCCGCACAATATACTTCAACACTCGCACACTATTAATAATTCACAACACATCACTATAAGTTGATATCAGCATTTAACCATTTCCATTTTTATTTCATTTCTCTTTCTGAGATGTATCCAATTCCATTTATTTTCAGTCTTCTGTCTTCTGTACTTCTAAATAGTTGTTGATTATTTTAAAACACTATACTTCATACTCCCGCACTATATAAACACACTCGCGCACTATATAAAAACACACAAACACAATTATTTATCACAGTTGCCATTCATATCCAATTCTAATTTTCAATCTGATTCAATTTTTCCATTTTTCTCGTTGTATCTAGCTTGAAGTTGATTCTTTGGTTGTTACAGTTAATTCAGGATCCATTATATCTTCGACTTCTTGAAATTTTTCGGTCCTCGTTCGGAATAATTCGATTGGTCAATATTTTTCATTTTCTTAAGGCTTTTATCTTCATACATCTTTGGGAAAATTCTCGATCTGCTTGGTTTCTTCGTGTCTTATTATAAATGATGCAATTTGAAGTTGGCTGCCTGCAAATGCTTTCCCCAGAAAATGAAATCTAATTCAATCTTTTGGGTACTTCGGTTTCTATTGATGCTAACCCAATGTTGTATTGTTTTAATTTTGGTTATTTAGGATGATGATGATGTAAAAAAATGTGTAAGTTGTGTTAAAAATGTGAGGTAAAGCTGTGCCGAGACACAGCAATACCCTGGCCCAGTCAATGATCATGAACAGGGTAGAAAGTGTAAGTGTAAGAGTATGTAACTGTTGACCGATTGACTCTAAATGTTTTAATGCAAAATTGAAATGAAGTTCAGTTGAAATTAAAGCAGATTTTGTTTACGGAATACAAACGAATACAAGTTTCCAATTGATACAGACTGGTTCTTGGTTGCCGTCCCATTTTAAAAGAATCTTCGACAAATTTCTCATTTCTACAATTCCACCCATTTAAAATCTTCTTCTTCCTTTGGTATATTGCAGAAATCCTTTCCCGTCATATTAGAATCCCGTTTCTTGAATTATCTTCTTTATTCATAGTTGAATAATGATGGATTGACATTTGCAGCAGCAAAGCATTCAGCTTTTCGAGTTCACTTTGAGCGGTTTTCCATAAATTTTAACAGACACAAGGACTAGTAATAAATGATTATTAATACACTCATATCAATGATTCTACCAGTTCACCAAGCACTTCGAATACCTGTATCAAACAAACAAGCAAACAAAGTTGTGACTAGTAAATTTCAAGAATAGAACACAAAACAGCATAGAACATCCACAATGGCTTAGCATCCAGGATCCTGCAACATAAATTAAAATATTAGTTATCAATTCAAACAAAACGCCCTGAAAACATAGAAGAAATATGTGATTAGTACGTAAAAAGTGCTAAAAGAAATACATAATTCATTAGTGAGGATTTTTGGAACTCATTCACACACACAAATTAAAATAACAATAACAAATACGAAAAATAAACAAATGTCACCTAAAAGCGAAATAAATTTGATCAGCACACACATATAAATTGCTGTAAGAAAAAAGACATTAATGAGGATAAGGAAGGACCTAAAACCCTACCTAATGACAACCAATAGCTAATTCGCGATTATCCTGAAAGCGGAAAAAGATTAGTACACAAATTTCTAAACAATATTCATCATTCACACAGCTAAGAGGAGTAGGATACTTATAACTATTTTAATAAGACCTGCCTTTGTCCCTACCTAAGTACATGAGATAGCTTAGTGAGCACAAACCGCTTATAATAAAAAAGAGCGCACCTAACCCGCGACGCGTTTGGCGATTTGTGCTCAAAGTGCAAAACGGTTTTGCCGAATATAAACAAAGTGACCGACTGCCACATCCCAGCGGCAGCAGCCGGCTTTTGGTAGACCAAAATTTAACACGACATACACAAATGAAATGAAATACAATACAGTGCAACACAATCATACAAAGTAATAATACATTCAACAATCAATCCATTCATTCTTAAAATTGTTTACTGTTGCAGATTTAACTCTGCCAAAAATGCCCCGACCGATGCATTGATTTGACGTGTGTTATTTGTGGTGTTCTGCGTGAACAGAACGTGTAAGTGTTGTGTTGAGAATGTAAGGTAAGATGTGCCTAGACACACCAATACCCAAGAACCCCGTCAATGATCATGAACAGGGCAAAAAGTGTAAGTGAGTGTTGGGTATGTGCTTAGTGTTGTGTGTGAGTGTGTGTAAGATTTTACGTGCGTTCGAACAAAAACGGAAAATAAACAAAATTCAGTTGCTATACGAGCAAATTTTAAGCAAAGTGTTCACGGTGACACATACGAGTAAGTTGAATGCAAATTGTAAATAAACTGTTCGCAATAATACTTTAGTTTTGAAATGATTTTGACTTTGAAACGCGATTGAATTTATCGCGATCCGCGATAGGTATAATAAAGGTAAACTCACTACTTATAGACATCCGGCGTTTCTAGCAATGCTGGGAGGATTAGTCGAATGACCAAGTACTGGTTACACACGCCACCCCCAGATACAAGAGTGACATGCATACGCCAGCCTTCTGATCAGTGACATCACCCCTGCCTACCTTAATCCCATTCCTCGAAATGTCGCATGGCCAGGTTTGTGCAACATTTCGTAGGAGAATCCGGAGAGTTGGAAGAGATTGGGTTAGGAGGTCCTTCATATGTCCATTGGTCTTCATTCCCTAGTCAGTTTCTCATCTACTGGTCCATTCCATTTCCCTCCATCACCTGGTCTCATCTGGTGTGGCGTTACACAACACTCTGAAAAAGAAAAAAATTCAATTATTAAAAATATTATTACCGAATTAAAAAGAACATTATAAGATAACTTACCAAAGTCATTTGGTCATCTTTCTACCCCCTGATGTTGGTGATGGGTTAGGGATGATTTGTTTCCTCACACTCAGCGGTAATTGTCGATCAGTAAAGCTCCTAAAAAGATTATATAATAATTAGTAAATTAGAGTAATTAATTTAGTTTTCAAACTCACCTCTTGCATTCAGTTGACTGTTGCAAAAGATAATAATATTGGCAATCTAATATGACTGTTGTTGTGAACATAATATCTGCCCATGATGACTGTTGACTGGTTCTGTAAATAAAAGTAGATTTTAAAAATAAGTTTTATTTTACAAGGAACATTTTTAATAAGTTTTTAACTTTTAGTTACTCTGAGAAAAAAATGTTTTAAAATGGATAAATTACTCACCCTTAAATTGTACAATACGTTGTGCAGGCTTCATTGGTGCAATCTAATTGTAAAAAAACTGTTATGTTCATGGTTATTAACCGTTGAGCATCATATAGTGGCGTCATGATGTTCCGACCAATCACGAAGCACCACTGTGAACGTTGAAAAGATTTTGCGGCCATCATGGAAGCTGACAGCGAAATCGGGTTACAACCAAATACGAAGCCACACGCTGTAAAACAAAAGCGTTAGCCGGCCATTTTGAATTTTTGTGGCGTCGTTTCGGTTTCGACCAATCACAGAGCACCACGCCGACGCTTAAAGAAAATTTTTTTGGATGATTGAAAAAAATGTTTTACTCTAATTAATCGAGCCATCTAAGACTTGTGGTGTGCAACTGAGGGAATGATTGATCGATTAATTCGACTAATTCATTAAAAAGCAATCTGAATATATGAAATTAGGAGCTTTTCTATTCTCGTTCTTTGTTTCAGCTACTTATGTCATGACTGTACTTTGCTTTAAAATCTATTAAAAAGTATAAATTACTTACTTGAGCGGCAAATTGTTATTTCACGCGTGTTGATTAACTATTTCTAGATATTCTAACTTGAGTTCTTGATTAAAAAGAATAATAATTTAATTTTTGGTAGATGCAACTGCAGGACCGACGCTTCAAACGACCCGCACAGCACGACGACCAAACCGCAAATGGATTATGGCCGAAGCTGCAATTCCTTCTTCCTGTAGACAAAGGGGTGGGGGTAAAAAATGTCAACTTTTGACTCACTATGTAATTAGGGACTTCCTATAATTCAAAATTGGTTAAAAGTGACAATAACTACTTTGATGATTTTTCCCATAATTTTCATAATCAGAGATGCAATGCAGTTGAAGTATTAACCCTTACATGTTGTTATTATCGGGAAACATTTATTTCTCAAAAAATTATAACTTACGACTAATCTTATTTTAAATTAAGAGAATTAAGCGCGCTTTTCAACGGTTCAACGGAAGGGTGTGCTTCTAGGTCGTGTCAGATTTTCAATTCGGCCCGAAATCACGACATTTGCAGCAATTAACGTAGTGTGAAAATCTATTCAACCACTTCTCAAACGTTAACTCCGATCTTAAAATCAAGTTCCACAGGTATTAAATTGTTCCAGAATGTGTTATGTTCAAAAATGTAATATTATGTTATTCATTTACAGAGACTTCAATCTTGCGCCTGCAACAGGTAGTTTCATAGGAAATTTACGGGTTTCCTGTAAAGAAAATTACAATTGCACGACGTTTAATCGTTAGATCGTCTCATAAACTATCGATATCGATGCTTTTATGGTGCTCACATGTTTTGTGGATGATGTGATCGATGTGGAAACACGCGGTGTGCTGAACCTCAATTTGCAACATTGTTGTGGGCCCCCACTGAGTTGAATTGCAACTCAGAACCTGCAAAATCTGGTGAAACTTGTATGAAAAGCTTAAGGAATAGTTAGTAACTACAAACGACTTTTTAAAACACGAGGAATTGAATTATATTTGCCAAGATATAACTGAAAAACGTTTAAACCACACTATATTTGCTATAATTTGTTTAAAACTATAATTTATCACCGAATTTATGTTTAAAAATATAATCTGAACGTGAAATAACGTTTTACGATTGTTTTTGCCCAAGTTTCTGTTTTTGTTACAGACACAATTTAACACCTGATATCTGCTCTGCTGCAATTGGTGTTAATAACAATGAGAGAAGAGGGAAATTTGCAATTCAAACTGCAGGTGCTTCTTAAACAAGTTAAGATACTCCTAGAAACATCGTGGTTGCATTTATGGCTGACTAAATTTGGTTTTAATTGCAATGGGTTGACTGGATTTGGTTTGCTATGTGAATAATTCAATGTATTCTTGATGATAACTTAAGATGTGATGAGAATTCAGCGGGTATAAATACAGGTGAGGACATAGTACTATGTAAACAAATTTCTAGTTGGTTTCAAATTGGATTTGCTTTAGGTTTGTAAGGGGAGATCGTCCGCCATGATTCAAGTTGGAACGTTGTAACGCCTTTATGTATTCTTACCTGTCGGTAAGGCCCCTCCTTTGGATGTACTTACTCGTACATGCTGTAGTAACAATCGCACATGATCCGTCCGACTTATTCTTATCAGTATAGGGGTTTGGTTCGAGATACCTGGCTGTAGCCAAGTCAAACAGCTTCTCTACTTGTGTGTGTTTCTTTGTAGTTTCCTCCTTGTTTTTATTGTATAGTTTTATTTAAATTACTATGCACTTACAAATACAGATTTTAGGTTTAAAAAAATGTTTAAAATGTAGTTAAAATTAACTTAAGTTGTATACAATTAATTTTAAGTGTTAAATGTAATAAATTGTTAATTTTTATTTACACGTTAAACCAGCGCACCAACACGATGGGTCGGTCATCCTAATGATTAATCAATCAACATGGGCACAATATGTATCCGATTTACCTAGCAACTCTTCTCTCTTGTGAGTTGCAATATTCACTTAACCGGCATTTATAAACAATAAACACGCAAATAGTATAACATTGCTATTGTCGCACACGTCTTTATCAACTAGAGATCCGCACGAAACTAGCGGCAATACACGGACAGTTTATGATAAGAAAGCAAGAGATGCGTAAAGCCGGTGCGTTGATAGCACGCGACCTTAAACGCGAATTGCATTTGGTACCTGTGGCGTGAGGAGATGGCATCGACGACACACGAGAATTCGATATGAAAGTGTAAATTGTGTTCAAAACAAACGCAATTCTCGTGTCGAATGCTCACGTTTGCCGATAAATATTGAAATAAACAATACATCAATCTATTTTATGATTTTTAGTTCACGCTAGCGACATCTCCCGCAATTTAGATTAGGTGCGGAGGAATTTTATTTATTTATAACAAACACTTTATAAATGGTTACAAGAAACGAAGTAAAATAATGCAACCGGTTTTTTAATTACGTGAGTAATACATCTTTGTTACATTATGCTTTGGAAGTATTAATAATTTACTCAGTCGTTTATTGGCATTGAGACTGCAACAACATAAGATTTAATGAAAATCGCATTCTTGCAAATAATGTATCTAACACTTAAATATATATTAACTTTATCTGTGACATTAATACCAGTATTGCATACATGTACAACCGCGCGTAAGTAAACAATAAAAGAAATAAAATATATTTATGTTTGAAAATGATTTAATTACAGCTGCACGACGCAAAATTGGAGAAATCAGCAAACAAAGTATGTGGATTAATCAGTGAATATCCCAGAAATCTACGAGTATATTATAATGTTTTCGAATGCAGAGAAGTCTACTTACACAGATTTCCACACTCCAGAAACTGAAGTGTGGATTATTGGTGGAGGTGGATATGATGCTAAAGCAAAAGAATATCCTCACATGGTCAGTGTTTATGAATCTTCTCGTATTCTATCAAAAGCAAACTATTTTTTTACAGGCTGCTCTGGGTTACGGTGAATGGAACAATTGTATTAACACCGCAATGTAATATGCAAACGCGTAAATTTAGACTTAGATTTAAAATATGAATACTTCAGAGGTCCTTCAAAGCTACAATGATAACGCTGATCCCCAAGATTTCAACGTAACCCAGATTTTAATCCTCCATCAGCATATAATGACATTGCCTTGGTAGAATTAGATCGGCCATTTGAAAGAACCCGAGAAGGGCACTTTATTGCACCAGCTTGCCTACAAACCGCTATTGGTTGGGGAGAGACTAGTTTTCGTGGTCCAAACGCAGCGCGTTTGAAGCATAGGTCCTACTCAAAAACAGGGAAAAGAAGATTACTGAAAGGAGTTGATGATGATAGTCAGATGTGTGCAGGAGACGGACATATTGATACTTGTCAGGTGAATACTATTTATGTAAATGTCGTGGTAAATTAATTGTTATTATCGTATTGACTTTTATAGGGTGATTCTGGGGGACCACTACAAGTGAAAAATGCAGAGTACAGTAGGTACAGGTTACACAGTAATTGGAATTACTTCTTTTGGAAAACCTTGTATCCTGACTAAGAAACCAGGAGTAGGTATATACAAGAGTCTCACATTATATTGAGTGGATTGAATCTATTGTTTGGCCAATCATCAATTTTGAGTAAATTGTAATAATTAAGCTGGTATTGTAAAAGATATTGTTTTTGAAATAAAAAAGAAAATTTCGTCTATAATATAATCTCTGTCTACACTTGAAAAGAAGTGAAACTGTTGTTAAGTTTTTAATCCATTTCCTAGTAGCAAATAGCAAAAAACTGGTTTTACTTGTACAGGAATAACAAAGTAATTAAATACATATGTGAAGATTAGTAGTTAACATTATAAACGTGGTTTAATTGCAGATTGACATTGAATCAGTGCAGTTGTCAACACTCAACTCAAACTCGAGTTATAATAAAAGCGTGAAAAGTTTAAACAATGTACGTGCATCTAACAAAAATAGTAATTTTGATAGAACGGTAAGTTGAAACTTTTTCAAGTATCATGAGATACAAGATACAATTATCATATGATTATAGATGAATGTACCTAATCTCGCAAATTGCACTAGTGTACGAGAAGTTGGCGAAATCAGTAAACAAAGTGAGTATGATTTTAATATACACGTAAATAATTAGTGACATATAACATTTCACTCTTAATCTTTTTTACAGAATGCAAGGAAGTGTATTTGAATAGAATAGTGGAAAAAATAATTGGAGGCGGTGGATACGATGCACAAGCTCGAGAATATCCCCATATGGTTTACACCGCCATATTTTTATTTTAGGTGGCATTGGGTTATGATCATGATAATGAAGTAAAATGGGGTTGTGGAGGATCTTTAGTCAGTGACAAATTTGTCTTGACTGCAGCACATTGTATTGATACTGCGATGTACCTACGTATAAACATATCAAACATTCCAATCTAATCTAATCATTATGTTTTAGTGGTCCTGTTAAATATGTGCGTCTTGGTGCACTGAAACTTGTAAATTTCGACATTGATTCACATGATTCGAATCCACAAGACTTCAACATTTCTCAGTTTATTATTCATCCAGAATACAAACCTCCATCAGCCTATAATGACATTGCTTTGATTGAGTTAGACGGTGTTGCAAAATATGGAGAATTTATTGCTCCAGCATGTCTTCAATCGGAAAGAAACATTACTAATCCTCGTAGTAGAGAAAGCAGAGCACACCTTGTGCAATAATTCATATTTAAGTGCAGGAAAAAGAAGATTACTTACAGGAGTAAAAGATGATTCTCAAATGTGTGCAGGAAATGGAAAAATCGACACCTGTCAAGTAGGTAAATACCTCTATTACTTCAAAATCACACTAAATATTACGCTAGGACGTTTTTATACAGGGCGATTCAGGTGGTCCATTGCAAATACGAAATGCTGAGTACCAAACGGGTTACACAATAATTGGAATAACTTTCTTTGGAAAACCTTGTATTCTCACGAATAAACCAGGAGTGGATAGAATCCATTGTTTGGCCGATGTAGTTTTTGCGATTTGTTATGAATGATATCCAACATAATGAGTATTAATTACTTAAGCTTCTGTTGCGTTAAAATCTATTATTACTGTAGCAAAGATGAAAGGTCAAGCACAAGCACACAGTAAAGATCAATATAATATTGTAATAAAAACGTTATTCACACAGCATACCTATCTGTCTCTCATATTACTTTTTGCGACACATGTTTAAGCATATGTAGACTCTATTCTTCAACGAGAAGTTCATTTATACAAAGTTATTCGCCAGTTGTGCATGTGACATCCATAAATTTCTGTCTGGTAAAAATGTGGATTTTATCAGTCGTTATTCTCATCATTACGTGTGTTTCAAACATCGATTGTGCGTCGTATCGCGGTAGCACTCAACTGGATGCAAAACTTGACGAAATTCAGGCTGATTTGCGTGATATACCCTCAGTTCTGTTGACCTTGGGGAAAAATAATGAGATTCATCAACTGGTTCAAAATACGGACACAATGTTAAAAACTTCAGAAAAGAACTGAAATTTGGTCCACTCATGAACATTTTATAACTTCTTGGTTGGATCAAATCTCCGCCGTAGAAAGAAAATTGGATATAATAATTAAGTATACTTTTATTAAACTTATTTTGGAACATTAAACTAATCGTTTGAATAAAGTCGAAACTATCTATGTTCCAACCGCGCGTGGGCGCATCTCCGGAGTTTTCAAGATAGCACAATTGTTGGATACACGATATAAAACAATTAATCAAAAATAAATCAAAGAAAGCTGCAGAATTTGTTTTGCTTATATTTTACTTCGAAAACGTTTGAATTACGTTCAGACTCCTTGTATACTACACAAGTGACAATTAATGCAGAGTAAAATATTTGGACCCATGACACGATTGAACATTGTAATTTTCATTATTCTTCGGCTCGTGCCAGCAAATGAAAATAAACCTGGGAAGAACTCTCTATTTTCAGAACACTAAAAATATAAATTAATTAATAGTAAAATTGTGGAACGTTAATATTATTGGAATGTAAATTTGTTCCCGCCTAAAAAATTATACTAATCACAGTTAAAAGATAATTAAAAATATATAGAATTGTAATACGCCTTTAAAATCGCCCGGCCAAGCGCCGCCCCTAAAGGCGGCGGCACGGCATTCCCCACTTGTCGATGTTTGTCCAAAATACTGCCAGCAAACTCATACTTATCGGGAAAGCCCTGTGACCTCGCACACTCCCTTACACTAACAACCCGATGCTGCTCCGGATGCAAAACACGACCCTGTTTACCCATAGGCTCAGGATTCGTCACCGTCGTACTAAAATAACCCTGCCACTCTAAGCGTCCATACAACCCGGACCAATGATTGTGACGATCCGCAGTATGTGGTAAACACCACGGTATCAGAGTATTGAACTGCCTGTCGGAGGGATCACAACAACCTTTCTTGGTCGCGCAGAGACACACGCCTCTCGGCGTCTCATCTTTAGATTGTTTCTTCGTGAGGTGCGAGTATCGCAGTGTATTAGTATAAGAGCCATCTGTGAGCCGCACGACCAAGTTAGGCAAATCACGCCAATCACTGCCGGCTGCAAGCGGGATGTAAGACATTCGTGCTTCAACCAAGGGCGCCATGTCTTTACATACATGTTCAGTGATTGTACTCGTCTGAGATGATCCACGCATCTGACGTTGATAATGTGTTATAGCTTCTGAACCGTAGGGCAGGACACGAATGCCTGAGCCGTTTTTAATCGGTGGCAAATCAGCCATGGCGTCATAAACGGTAATTGTTCTGAATGGGGCGGCGCCGATCCAGCGTGTACCATTTGTGTATCGATGATCACCAATTTGTACCGATAATTGACATCCCCTCTTGCTAAACACATGCAATGGTTCAGGATAATTCGGTAACTTGCATCCTGGTGCAGCCGCAAAGATAATCAATCTTCTGCGAGTTTGTGGCACTCCATAATGTCCCGCTTGTACTACGCCAAAAGTCGCCTGATATCCCATTGCCAATAAGCATCTTAACGTTAACTTTAACACGAGACTCTTCTTAAACGAGACGAAATTCCGAACGTTTTCGAGGATGAAATATTTCGGACGGTAGTAATCGCAGTAGGAAAGATACGAAACAATCAGGGAATTTTTAAATAACGAGTATTGTCCGGCATTAAAGCGATTCATGCCGGAGAATCCTTGGCATGGCGGCCCGCCCACCAACAATTGGACTTCGCCTTTAGCCGGCATGCCCGATGTCGCACCATTGCCCTCCATCACATCCATTAGCAGCTGGTTACAATCGGCGGTGAAGACGTTCGCGTCGGGATTATTTAACTTGTAAGCTTTTGCAGCAGCAACATCTTTTTCAATCTGAAAATATAATTTTTTGTTTGACCATAGTGTATATAGAAAATACGTGTTGATGAAGTTGCCTACGTTAACAGTTAAAAACTCAACTCAATAAATTAAACTTAATAATCATACTATGTACTTACAGCCCAAAGTGTTTTGGCAACTCCACTCTGGTGTAATCCCTCCGACAACCCCCCGCATCCTGCAAAGACATCCAAACACCGCAACGCCTCAATTTCTTCGTAATTCGGTGCAACTTCCAAAGGTTTGCTTGTCACTTTCGTGCTTTTATTCTTTTGTTTCTTCGACCCTTTCCCGCATTGACCAATCTTCATCGCACAGGGAGGAACTTCTTCAAAAGACAAAGTCTCAGAATCATATTTTTCCAGAAAATGAAACCGATCAGGTCCTTGCTTCATCCATTCATCCAGAGACCCCTCAATGTTGTAACCATAAGCAATAAAACATTTACCTTGTACGTCGTTAAAGTCAACTATTTCATCTAGGAATTGAAAACAAATAAAATAAACAATAAAATATAAAAGAAAAAATGTATACCTTCTTCGCTATAATACAACATATTCAAATCACACTGTCGATTTAAAATCTCTCCCCGATGAGTGTTTTCCGGCCGGTAGAACTTTTTAACTTTGAGTTTTATATTGGATTGGCTTTTAGCGGTGTGTTCCTCAAAGATTTGTTCGATTAACGCGATACAAAAAGGTTCACCTGTGGCTGTGTTGGATCCTTTAATATTTTCGTAGTTCTTGCGGTAAAATTCTGGATATAAAACACTATCAAAGTCGCTTCTTGTTGACGATCTGTCATCTTCAATCTCACACTTGATTTTGAAGAATTTGAACACTCCAGGAGTTAAATATACCGCACTGCCTATAGTGTATTTTTCCCCACGGTACATAACAATATCATCTTTTAATGTAGGAGTATAAAATAATCGTTTCTGTTGTTTTGCACTGTAAATAAATTTAACATAAATTATTTACTTAAAGTATTGTGAATAAAAAGTATATTTTACTAACTTGCATGCCCCACAAGGTGATACGGAATCCGCCGCAAAATCATCGGACCTCAAATCCTCAAATCTTGCGTGTTCAGCATCGTAACGTTTTGAAAAGTAAAACGTTTGACCATCATCTTCTAATACCGGTGGCAAATTATCAATACCTCCATTCATGGCCCAATCAAGAGATGGTAAACGTATTTCAACGACAGCTTTACGCACGATTGTACCCAAAGGACAGTTATCACAACTGTCATGGATGAAAATCTCTCTGGGGTCCGAGGTTTCGCCCAAAACAGTGTCCGACCCGCGGATGAAAAAATGCGCGTGGAACATTGGACCTTTTTCGACATCGTCCCACATGTAGACTACTTCAGCTACCAATAGCGGGTGTTTTGGAACCGCTGGATTGAGAATTACATAATCACCAGTTCTTATTTCAGCATTTCCTATGAATAAACACATTTAAACAAAAAATATATAAAAGTATGAGATTTTATGATATGCACAGGCACTTACCAACTTCAGCATGTGTATAGTATGTCCTGTTACCCTGTTCACTTGCAATATCCCCAATCCATTTAACTTTGTTAACAATGCGTTTCGAACAGGGAATCTCCACCGCGTCCACAATGACTGTCTCCGAATCGTCGTTCTCATCATCGTTATCGGAATCTTCCGCTGCTTGTATTGCCATATTCGGACATCTTCTCAATTTGCACGCTTGTTTCGATCGCCCCGTGCCGCCGAACTTCAGCATATCGCGACAATGATTACAATCACCACAATCAGACTGTTGGCAAGCCTCGCAAATCCCACACCGTCGTTTCTTTTGCCCTTTCATCTCAACATTATTATTAGCAATTTGATCAGTGAAGAAACTCTCCATTACCTCCCGGACTATATTCGTTGTGGTTGCTTTTGACCACTGCGGTGACTTTTTAACACCTCTTGGCATGCTTTTGGCTAATTTAGTTTTCCATTTGCGTTTCGCAAAAGTAACACCCGCCATCTTGACGAGGCTGCGAATACATGGCGAAGTCAAGAGTGGCGTGTCGCCATCCTCAGCAGCTTGATCAATGCTTAATATTTGATCACACACAAACTGTGCATGACGCAGCAGACACTCTTCATTTATATCCGCGTCTTTGTAACTGTGAAGTTTCTGTAGAATATCTTCATAGGTTGGTTGTTGCCATGATTCATCCATTAAGAATTCAATCACAATCTTGACTAGTTTGATTTTTTCATTCAGAGGTTTCATTACAGGTGCATATGTTTCACATGGTGCCATCATGTAATAATCTGCGTAAGGTGTGGAAAAGAATACAATTGCTTTCTCGCCACCATCATACCCTGAAATGAACCATGCATTGATTGGACCAATGTCATGTGTTGGTATGCCACTCTCAGCAGATTCATCTTCATCAAAAATTGGTTTTACATAACCAGACACATACAGTAAAGTATCCTGTTCGATTAAACCAGAGTCAATTGGCACCAAATGACCTGATTTATCATAAATATTAAATAATGTTATCTGAAACATAGAAAAATTACTTTTTTTGTTTGTATTAAGTTGTGTTAATTAAAAGTATTACCTTATGACTAGGGCGTTCATCCTGCTGATCAATACACTCTTCATCTCCAGTAAATAACATTAATTTCTCATCAGTTAATGCAATGTACTCAGCAACTGAGTTGGTTGGATGTCCATTGTATAAAACAACTTGATCATCATACTGTTTACAAATTGGACATTTTTGAGCCTTGGGAGCGTTTTCCACTTTAATTTCAACATTATTCAAAGGAATTTCTGCAGTATTAAGAGGTTTTAGTCTTTTGCAGGCGCTTTCTGTTTCATTTCCATTGTCATCCAACTCATCAGAGGCAGATACATGCTTCATGGTGCACAATTGTTTAATAACCACTTTTTATTGTTAATAAACTATTTATATCATAGTGACATGTTTAAAACAGAGATTAAGACTTTAAAAACGCCAAAAGTTGAACTGTATACATGTAACGGTTAACCTATAATTTAAAAGTTTTATGATTATGAAAAGAATACGTTCAAATTACTTACGGGAATGAATGTAACAAATGGCTGATAATATCAGAAAGTTGTTTCAGGTACTTTATAGTGTATGCAATGATTGTCAGCACGAATAAACAAAATGTGAATACGAATCCTGATGATGTAAAAAAATAACTGTTTCGCGCCAAAAATTCACAGGTGGTTAAACAATGCGCGCGCAACAATTTTACTCTTGACATTTGAAAATTGTTTCCAAAATTAAAATTATATAAGTTATGATATTGATTTATTGCCTCCTTGGTTAAATATAACAATTTTTTACATGCACAGCATACGTTTTGCAATTTCAGATGCCTTCACATCATCAGTTAACTGCTTCAAAACAGTGAAAGCAAATTTAAATGATGTACCAGGTCCACGGCTTGTAATTAAATATTCGTCCACAACTACATCATCATTTTTATACTTATAATCTCCACACTCGGACATTTCTTTCTCCATGGCTGGATATGAAGTGACATTTTTGCCTTTTCCCACACCATGTGCCTTTAGTACAGTTGGAGCAGCACAAATGGCAGCGATAATTTTACACTTCTTTTCTTGCTCTCTAAGCATCTCCCCGACTTGAGCAGATTTAGCCATTGCAGTCGCACCACCCAATCCACCAGGTAGAACCAATGCATCAAAACTCTCTTTTATGTCACATAGTTTCTGATCAGGCATGATACGGACGTTATTAGAGCCGCAAACATGGTCTCCACCATCTGTACTAGCAACGACAACTTCCACCTAGTAGATATTCACAAATATTGATAATTTAATAACGAAATTTATAATTTTAAGGTTAAATTATATTAAACTTACTCCTCCGCGACGTAAAACGTCCACGGCAGTGATGAATTCAATCTCTTCGAAGCCTGGAGCAAGGAAAACAAGAGCGCGTTTCTTGGTAGCCATGTTGCAGTGTGCAAAACGTGGAAAATTTCTAAAATTTGCGTGTTTTTGCGAGTGAAAAAATGATGTTGCGGCCGGTCGACGCAATACGTGCAAAATTGTCAAACAGCTCATTATACAACTGCGATAAGTTTAAGGTCAGATTTATTATGAGCACGGTTACTAAACTATAAATTGCAAATATACTGTAATATAAACATTAAATTGAAGTTAAAACTTTGGCAGTTGTACATTTCGACAGTTGCTAAGTTTTTTGTCACAACAACTAAAATATGCCTAATTATGAAGTGAAATTCATTTTTTTAATACAGAATAATATGTTATATTAATAATTAGATAATTATTTCTTGTATAAAATGTAATTGTTCAAATTTATTAATATTTACATTTGAATTCATCATATGATTTACATCTGGTTCTGTGCTGCCACCATTAGGAGCTACATGAACTAAAATATAAATGTAAAACACAGTGTGTCCTTAGTAGTTATTAATCAAAACTTCAAAAACAGGTTATATTTATTATCTAGGCATAGATGGTTTTATTTAACGAGCATTGTTTTAGCAATACAACAGGCATTACGCTCATCAGTAAGATGCATCAAGATTGTAAGCGCCCATTGCAAGGCTTGCGCTTCTCCTTTGGCAGTGATCAGGAAATCATCGACGACTACATCGGCGCATTTATATTTATAATCGCCGCATTTCCTAATCTTTTCTTCGTGGTCCGGATGAGAGGTGAGGCATTTCTTCTTTGCAATACCAAAGTTCATGAGTACGGTCGGCGCGCTGCAAATCGCTGCAATTATTTTACATTCCTTCTCTTGTTTCTTCAGCAATTTTTCAACACGCTTGCAACCGCATAGCGCATTACTGGCTTTGTCATCACCGGTGAGAATTAGAGCATCAAAATCGTCACAAATGTCGTCTAAATCCTTATCCGGTTTGATCTCCACGCAGTTCAAGCCGTGCATAGCTTTCTTGCCTTCTAACCCAGCGATTGTGACTTCAACCTAAGCAATAATGCGGTAAAATTATTATAACCTCAAATGTCAGCTATGAATATGATACTTACGCCACCACGTCGAAGTACATCCGCTGGGGTGACCACTTCAATCTCTTCGAAAGCAGGCGGGAGGAAAATCAGAGCTTTCCGCTTTTTGTTGCATGAGCTTGAGCATCTTTGAAACGATGATAATGATGGAATAGCTGGCAATGCAAGTGTTTTGCTAAAGCATGGTTGTCGCACAACATTTATGATATTACTACAGGTATTCATCTTGTGGAAATTATTGTATGAAAACACAGAGAATTTTTAGTCGAAATGATGCACTGAATTTGGACAACAAAAATTTATGAGGATGAATTTTGATGTGATTACGATCAATATTTCAGTAACTATGGTAACAAAAGGTAATTTTTTAAATTTAAAGCAGGCGTGTGAAATTGTTTTTCTTCCATTATTTTTGTGCATAAATTTCGCGCTTGTGTTGCCTGCACTAAAAATCGGTATCTGGTTTGACGTAATGTTTTAGTTTTTGCGTTTTTGCACAAACACGTATTTCGAACTGAAATCCGCTACACTCGAAAAATTGGTTATTTGACTTGCATTCGTGGAACATAAATTTTTTTCAATACTCATAAAATAGGAAATAATATATCTTCGTTTCAGTATATTTACAAATGCTGTGTATTTAATATTTTTGTTGATTTTTTGCTTTTATTAAAATTATAGTAATCTATAATATAAAAATAAATCGCAAAATGTGTTGGTAAGCGCATAACTCAACAACGCCTAGACCAATTTGGCCAATTCTTTTTTTAAATGTTTGTTAAAGTCCAAGGATGGTTTTTACGGCGAGAAAAAATTGAATAACTGCCGGGAAAACCCTAAAAGCAGCCCTTTTCTATAGGATAAAAGTTGGCATTGAGATTCAATCATAGTTATAGTTAAATAGTTGAATCCTAGATGGCGCGCTGAAGTGCATTATTAGCAATTCATTATATAATTAATTTTTGTTAATAAAATTGCGAATCTTATTGAAAGAATTGACACATACTATGTCTAGAACAAGACAGAAAAACAAATTACATTTTTATTAAGCACAACCGGGACGAAGTTGCGGGTAAAAGCTAGTTTTGAAATAAAAAGAAACACACACGCTATACGAGATAAAATTGAATTAATAAATTGCACACAACTCATAGCAAATTAACAATATAAAACCTACACATTAACTCAACCTACGCAAAATTGATGAACAAATACGAAAAGTGCTAATTGAACATTGAAACATTGAAAGCTCACACAAAACCCGGAAATAATGATGATAAAGGTGATTGCAGCGATTGGAGCACTGCGGACATTGCACATGAAAAACGCTTCGACAAAAGTGCAGCAAAACGAAACGATGTAGGTCGTAAAATATTTTATAGCTCTGCAGAGTTGTTGCAGTAAAATCTGCTTGGTAATTTATTTAAACAGGACATAGATAGGTAAATGTAATAACGGCATATGCAGTTGCTATTGTTATTAAACGCCGCCATAAAATTTAGTTGCCTCTAGTTGAGATGAAAGTGCGGGGTGAACTGAATCAATATTGTCACAACTAATGCTCAATCATTATCACTAGCATTGTCATTGTTATCTGCGCAAAACATAACTACCGGGACGGTTTATTGTTTTACATTATGTAATCTATTAATAAACAAACTGTTACAAAGCGCAATTAATAGTAATATGTAAGCTAATATTAGGTATAAATGTACTTGTGGGTTTATTTGTACGTTTGTGACGCTTTAACGTAAAAACCATAGGAATAATTTTGATAAATTTTGATATAGAAATATTTGTGGCTATGGAAAATAACATAGGCTATTTATTGTTGTGAAAATATGACTAAAAGGGTGTAAAATGGGAGATGAAAGATTATATAGAGTATAATTCATTTTTTGGTTGAATAATTTGAATGTAGATGGCGCTGACGTGTGTTGTTAAGAACAAAACTCATTTCTTATATTTAAAATTGATAATTTAATCAAAATTTCGTAAATTATGGCATAAAATGTGTAAAATAATGGATCAAACTTAGTAGATTGATTTAATCTTCCTATAATTGAATTATAGATGGCGCTACAGTCCCGATCAAAAGCTAAAAGAATTAAATTATAAAAAGAACATGATTTAACCTCAAATATAGCTATTAACACAATATTTTATGCTTTTGAAAGATTAAATCTCTTCAAGTTGTTTGATTCTTGTTTGTTTTTTGTGTTTGTGTGCTGTGGACACCTGATTATCCGCGTGATCTTCATTTTCATCTTGTTTCTTTGCTCGCCATGCTCCATGTTTCATATTGAAACGTGTTCAACGAGGTGGTTTTTGCGCGCGTGGTCTTGAGTATGATTTCATTCAGCGCACGCTTTATTGCCCGTATTATTCATCACGGCGATTGTCGCACTCGCTTACGCTTCAAGAATTTTAAAGACTTATAAATTTCCGTTTTGCTCGCGAACGCTGAAAACTCGAACGTCTTGGGCAGACAAATTGAGATGAGTGAATGATCACATAAGGACATAAAGAGCGGGAATACGAGGAAAAGACAAAGTTGTATTTACAGAGAATAATGCTGAATATAATAAAATTTAAGAGTGAAATGAAAAACATTCTATTTTGTTTTGTGAATATTTTGTATCTTGGAAATAATTCAAAGAAAGTTGAGTTAAAATAAGCAGTAAAGTAAATTTTAATAAAAAATTTCGTTAATATTCTTAATTTTAGTTCAAAAGTATGAGAAATGCAAAAAATGCACTCCAACGCCATCTGGGAATCAATTATTTAGCTATAACTATGATTGAATTTGCATAGAAAATTTTTATTCTTATTTAACACCCTGTAGATAACAATTTTTAATATTTTAATAGTTATTCTGCTGTTTGAGGCAAAGACAAATCCAACAAATTATAGATCATCAAAATCTGTCCAGCCGTTCTTGAGTTATAAAAGCTGTAACTAACGGAACACGTCCTATCGCCATCTGGCGGTGCTTGTTTGCTTTTATTATTCACAGTCACCTTGAGTGGCGTTTGACGAAGCACCTCACACTATAAGCGCCATCACTGATTGAATTATTAAACTACAACTATTACTAAATCTATATAAAATTTTCATCTCTTAATTTAACACCTTTTAAATAACTATTTCGGTGATTTTATTAGATATTCTCTTATTCCTAATAAAGATAAATCCAAAAACACAAAAATCATAAAAATTGCTCAAGCCGTTCTTGAGTTATAAAAGGTGTAACTAACGCCACTTTATTTTATACGTAAAAATATGAATTTTTTCAATATAATGTCATTTATTGAGGTTTTGAGGTTATGTTTAACCTAAAAACATCTTTTTATTTCTCTCACAAATAAATCCCATTGCCTTTTCGCTATTTTCACAACTTGCCTGCAACTGTTGCACTAGTTTAGCCTCTTTTCATTTGCTTTCATATAATTTCCCTCGAAAAACATTTCTCCTCTTAATGTGGATTTTCTTGAAATCTCTCCTGAGCCTTGACGTCGGGTGTTTTATATCCTTCAACGTCATAACCTTTTAGTGTTGCGCTGGTACTCTATGTTTTCTATTTATTTCTCCTGTCTTTTACTTTTTATTATTTACCCGTAACATTATTTACACTTCACACGACTTTTAATAATAATAACTTTTATATTTACACTTTACATTAACATTTTATACATGACACAGCATATGATTGATTAATATATTGTCAATATATTGTCAATATAATGTGACACACTATTTCTTCACATTTTATTGAAACCGTTGAAAGTTAAGCGACCGCACTTGTTTGATCGTACCTCGTCGGCGGTTGGCGGCGGCGTCGCCTGAGAGAATCCTCGCCGCCGGCCGCAGTCGTCCTGCGGACACCGAAACGGGAAGAACATCCGCGCGCGCACACACCGCCAACTACGCAGATTAACGTAAATAATACTTAAATAGAAAGTGTTGAAAATGTTGCAAACTTTGCACTCGACTTTAGTTATGTTTTCGTCGCGAGGCGTGTAATTACTAAGAAACGGTGTGAAAACGTTCGTCAACATTGTGAATGCAATCAAAATAGCTTAATTAAATAATTACGCAACGATTTAATTTATTTAAACAATAAACAATGGGGGTTTCAATGTTAAAGTTCGTGTTTGTGCAAATTTTATGGACACTTGTTACGTGTGATAGGAAATTGTCAAATGGTGAGTTTATTTTATAATATTTTTAATGCCTAGGCAGTAAAGTAAAAATTTGCAAGAGATTTTAATAAGAATTAACCTAAAATTTGAATATGAACAAAAATAAATGCTTAAAATTTATGTTTTAGAAATTTTATTTATTGCCTAGGCAATAAATTGTTTATTTTATGACAAAATCTTTAATATCATGTCAGTAAAGTAAATAAATTAAAAAATTTGGATAAAAATTAACTTTATATTTCTAGAAATTAAGTTTAATAAATTTTACTTTATTGCCTAGGCAATAAATTGTATATTTTGTTATAAAAATTTAAATGTCAAGGCAGATAAATACATATTTTACGAGAAATTGATAAAAATTAATTAATAAAAATTATACTTTACTGACTAGACAATAAATTATTTATTTTAACAAAAATTAAAAATCTCTAGGCAGTAAAGTAAATATTTTAACAAAATTTTATAAGAATCATCATAATACTACAATTTATAAACATAACCTCTTAAAAATGAAGTTATAAAAATTTTACTTTAATGCCTAGACAATAAATTCCCCATTTGAGTATTATTTTAATACAAATATGCTTATTATTAATAAAAAACGTACCGAGATGAAATGTTCCGTGTGATACGCAATATGGAAAAATGTTTATTGCTTGTTTGTTGGCGCCGTAACGAGCGTCAATGATAAGCGCAATAAAAACGCTCGTAAAATGAAGCGCTATTTAATATTCCGGCTCGCGTCGGTCGTGTCTTTAGTATTTATATTTATTCGTGTGCGCCGCACTCCAATTCCCAATTTCAGGCGCATGTTTCTTCGCTCATTGCGCAATTATTGTAGGCGTTCACTTGTTGACTTTTTTGCGACTTCCTATAGACGTTTCGACTTTTGTGTGGCGCGTATTGTGTAACGGGCACAAAGCAACAGTTTATTTATTGCGTTTAATTCCGGTCGTTCCTGGAATGTTGAAATGTATCGGTGGTGTTAATTTGATTGGGTTTATTGAGTTTAATATTCAATTGCGGGGGCATAGAACATAAAAAAAATTGTTTGACCTAAATATTGAAATTTGGATGTTGCCAAGGGTAGATTTAGTGGATGATTTTTAATTGCGCCATCTAGTGAGTGAATTAATTGAGATGATGTTATTATGTAATTTGGCATCATTTTAAGCTAAAAGTTTGTGATAGCGATTAAAAACTCAGAAGTGAATTGGCTCAGTGTCAATTGTTTTTTCTTTGACAAGATATTGATTTGCCACAAGGTATTAAATATTACTAATATCTAGTACATAATTCTAATCACTTTTTTGTTTCTAAAATCTATTATGCTAAAAATGTACATAAGCGCCATCTACATACAAACTATATAACTATAATTACGATTAAATCTGTATACAAACTTTTATTCCTTATTTTACACCCTGTAAGTTATATTTTTGCAAAAAAAAGTAGCCTATATTATTTTCCATTATCAAATATATTTCCATACAAAAATTTATCAAAATTGATTCAGTGGTTTTTGCGTGAAAGCGTGACAAACATTTTTTTCATATTTTATGATGTATTGCCCCGACAAAAACCATGCTAAAAAGAATAGCTTTTCAAGTAATTTCATATTTTTGTTTATGTTAACATTTGAGTAAAAAATATTGCTCTTCAGCACTACATAAATACTTGGTAATTTCATTGTTTGTGCCATTGATATATGAATTTTATTCTATTTTCGTTTTTGTTTGGATTGCCATTGTGTGATTTTTTCCGGCGCTATGTGTAACTTTTACTTTAACATTTATTTTTACATTTACATTTACATTTACGATTACTGCGCTGTTTGCCAACGGAAATTGAAAGTTTTATCGCCGTTTCGGGGTGTTATCGGGATTCTAGCTTAGTTTCGCACGTTTTCTTCTCGCATCATTTTTCATCCACTTTTACATTCCACGCCTACTTTTCTCTAACATTTTTTCCTTCTTCTTCCTTTTCTTGTTGAGGTTGATTTTGTATAACATTACATCTTAAGTAAACATTATTTTTTTCATTATCATAATAGAAATATTATATTGATATAAAAATGTAAAGAAAATTAAGTTATAAAAATTAATTATCTATTTTGTAGTTTTTTATGGATTTTATTTTATGAATATTAATAATAGTATATTAAGTATCAAGTGGCTAAAGGGGGACTTTACTCACAACGTTTAGCCACGTGATGCTTACGCTATTTTTTCTACTTCCATTCTAGTTGCAAGTTGAGGTTTTTGTATTTTAACTTTTGTATTTTAAATCATCAAAATTTGCTTCAACACTACAACAACACTACCACGAAATCCGCTGCTTCGCAGCAAAATGCGCAGGCGCAAGCTCCGGCCCGTAGATAATGTCCGAAGATAATGGATATTACTCACGGCATAGTCGTCCGTATATAAACTTTATCACTTTATCACTTTTGTGTCTAAAAACCGTGGATAAACTGGTATTTTATAGGTGAATGTAGTAAAACATTTTTTGGTTAATTTTTTTCTTAATTTTCTTCTTTTTAAAGTTTATTTCTTTATATTTTTACATGTTACGTATGTTTTTTTCATGCAGCACGTACCAATGCCACGTACTCGCGTTTATTTCTATTATTCATTTTCCTTTCCAATATATCCGCAAAAGTTGAATTGGTGTAACAGAAAACGATTTCATATTTATCACATTTACATTTGCTTCACATATGAAAATCGATTTGAATAATATTAGATTTATATTTTTAAGCTTAAGAAAGATTGAAGTTTAAGGAATACAAGTATGTAGATCGGTAAATGTTTGAACAAATTTTGAATAAATTGAACAGAAAGTATTTCGGCAAAAGTTTAAAAACTTTAAAATAAATTGTTATACTTTTTTTAGAACTCTAATAGCAAATCGATAATAATACATCTTTTTTATATCCAATATACTTTTTTATACTTTATTTAACTTTTTTTAACTTTTTTTCTTAAACTTTTTCTTTTTAACTTCAAAAAAGTTAAATGTATTGAATAAGAATAAACGTCTTAAATTCAACTTAACAGAATTGTATTGATGACCAAATCAATTTGTAACCTGACAATACTCATATTTATTGCTTTTATCATTTGACATTTTATTCTTATCGTTAAAACGCAGATGTTACAGCATTGTAAAATTGCTTGAATGAAAACTGAAACAGACGTAGATTTATTGAATAGGAATAAATTGAAAGGAAACTTGAGAAAACCGCAGCGTATCGTATCAATCGCTAGAAATAAATGCGAAAACTTGTGCTACTGTTGTTAAATGTAACTGAATGAAATGTATGTATGGATACGAGTGAGTAAGTAAGTACTATGCACATAATATTAGGATAGTGAGAGAAAACTTTATAAAACGCTCGGGATTTATGTATTGTTGTGCAGCCAAGCAGCAAATTGCAAGTCAAGTTGAATTTAAACGCGACATTAAATTACCAACTATAAGTACAAACAGCAAGAGTTACTAACAAGCATGAAGTAATTAATAAAATGAGAAAAAGCTTTTTAAATTTAAATATATAAATACATATAATTTAATGTTATGAATGGTGATGAGAGTTTGTTTGTTGGTTTGTTTGTAACGGTATAACGCCAAATATACTCAATAAATTTTGCCAATTTTTGGCGAAGAAATATTTATGACCAAGGAAAAGCGAATAGACTACTTTTTATTGCAAAAATATAATTTACAAAGTGAATTATAAGGGATGAAAGTTGATATAAAGATTTAATCGTATTTATAATTAAATGATTCAAACCTAGATGGCGCTAAATTGCAGTATTATTAATTATATCTGTAAAATAAAATTGAGAATCTTATTGTAGCAATAATAATTAATATGTATCGGTTTTTAACATCAAATTAGTAAAAATACCAAAATTAAATTATGTATTCAACTTAATTCCAATGAAACTAAAAATTTGTAGTAATGTTGAATACATTATTAAAAATTAAATAGTAAGACTTTATATTATCTAAGTATGAGTTTCCATTGATACTTAGTCGGCAACAAAGTTTTATTCATGATAAAAGTTGCAAGAAATAAGTTTCTGCTAGTTTTCTGTTAAACCACTAGTATTATCAGCTAAAAAGTTTTAAAAAAATTGTACATTATGCATTTTTCTATAAATATTGTTCTTGCACTTCTTGTTGCAGGAGTTACCGTTAATGATTTATAGCAGTTCTAAACATTGCTCTTCATCATGTCCACGCCTTCATCGTCTATATGCATATTTAAAAAATGACACGTTCTCTTGCACCATTTTAGCTATTTTTAAACTCTTTTCATATAGTGATAGAATAAGAGTTAATATTTACAATGCATATTTGCCGCCCCCAAAATTTCTCATAACTGAGCAGAAAATCGCCGTCAAAATAAACAAAAAAAATATTTTTGAACATTTTTCCTATTTTTTAGAAAAAAAAATATTTATCTACAAAATTTTATAAACAAATCAATTTTAAAGCAGGATTAGGTATGCAAAACATAAAATGTGTAACTAATTAGCAATTAATATTTTACGATATTTATCCTCTACACTTTTGATCTTGCAATTTTGTTCTCACAACATCTACGTTATCGTTAATAATATGCAATATTATGCTATGCAATGTTTATTTACCTAGTCCCTGCGTATCTGCAGCTCCGAACAGCGTGCGATACAAATTAATTGATCTGTTTGGTTGGCGCTTAAATTTACGACGTGCCATAACACACCAATGCATATTTCACATCCGAGCTCACTAAGCAGTCTTCAAACCGCAACACAAAAAAGTGTGAATATTCTTGTTTATATTAACAGCCGAAATGAATAAATCGTATCAGCTTGCAAAACAGTATCCGACGTGAACCAAAATGTGTTTGTAATAAATTCGCCACCAACGCTAACCAGATATGCTAACATCTGATTCATACACGAAAAACACTAATTTTATATCAACATAATTTTTAATTACAAAAAATA